TAGTCGGTCACTGACATTAGATCCATACACCATTTGTTCAATCAGGATACTGGAACCCATGTGCACCATTGTTTTGGATTATCCATATCCACTGACGTGGTTAAAGCTCCGGACATTCGCTTTTCGTCCTCTCAGTTTCGCAAATAACACCCATAGTTTGAGGAAGCAGTAAATAAAAATTCCCTTGCATTGGTTGTTTGAGCGTGACCATGTGAGGTCATTTGGAGAGGGAGAGCTAACTCTCCTCACTCTCGACCGTACCAGGGCCTTTGGGGGCTACATAACCACTAAGTCGTGCAATGGGGTGAAGTTTACTGCATCTTGTATTGGTTGTTTAAATCTTCTCATTGATGTTTAAGTCTTTTATTAATCAGTCTCTTTTCTATGTTCTTATTATTTGGATAGCTCACAAAAGTATTAAGTAATTGACTATCACTTTGAGACACTAGAATTTATCATTTTATTGTTCTATATTGTTTGCGTACACATTGTTGATTGGTCCGTACTTCTTACTCTAATAATCACAATTTGTTTCTTAAAATAAACCAATTATTACTTTCATGTTTTCCATGGTGGTCTAACTTCAATTGACTCATGAATTCAACTATTAAATTACTATGATATCCACAAAGCCCCTCTTCAATTAGTTATATTGACGCAAAATATCCGTGTGTCTCAGTGTGTGTGTGTGTACTTGTAGTTGTTATCTATTTGTAACTTCAAGGTTATAAAGTGAAACGTATCGATTTTGTGGAGTTTGTTCCTATAATAATGATAATAATAATCTTAATTATTATGGGAAAGTTTGTCAGAAGCTCCAGTAATCACACTTAAAATTTTTTCCAGTTATAAATCCTTATTTGTATCGACGTTTTTTTGTCTGTTGTTTGTGGTTTGACTTACGCAATATCGGACTCATCCACAAGTCAGTAGAACGGCGTCAGGGATTTCTTGTCATATTAGCTAGTGACCAAATATGAGTCTGTACTCCATTTAGATTATTGGTTTAAAATCAAGGTTTTCTAACTCCCTCAGGTAGATTCTCTACTTACCAATTCGATTGGATGTTATTGGGTGTAGAAGTAGACTGGAAGAAAACTAGGGGCAGGGAAACGAAAACGTGAAGTCGTCAACAATTGGACTGAACGATGTTGATGAGTGTAAACTACCTGGTTGTGGTTCGCATGATCATCGCAACCAGTGATTAGAAATCTTGAATGATTTGACTCAAAATCGTTTGGAATCACTCAGGTGCATCAGTTATTTTTCTTCTCCCGCTAATTCTAAAATAATTAATTGTTCATGAGTTTTCTTTTGTTTTTAGATCACTAATTTATGTTTTCTTGTCGAATGGTATATTCGATGTGTAGTGTTTTCAATTAGCTTGTATATTGTTACTACTTCTACTGTTGTGGGAATCGTGCTTAAAATCTCATTTGTTTTTGCAAAAAAGGTATGGCAACTTGAACCGATATATTTAGGTATCAAGGTCGGCGTTATCACTTACTGACTGATATACATGTAATTATTAACTTGACTATTGTATAGTTAAATGTCGGTTATAGTAGGTTAATGTCGCATAGGTGTCTGAAAATGAAATAAACTTGAAGTTAGAGCGATTAGTCCCTTTTATAAATTTCGATAGAACAATGATAAGACGGAGTTGATTTGGAAAACATGCTGTGTTTACTCTATACATTTGTTTATTTGTTTACCTGTACCTTCATTTCACTAAGCTTTATTAATTTTCCTATAAAATGTGTTGACTTGTATACGTGTGACTAATTGGTTCGAAATGTATAGAGCAAATACATCCTTTTTTTTCAGACCAACCTCGTCTTCTCTTCGTTCTGCGAAACTGTAGTTGTTGATTAGCACTACGATCTTATGTTTTTTTGTATACCATAAAATTATCCTTCGTTTTCGAGTTGTATGGTGTATATATAATCACTTTTACGACTCCTAATTCTCTTACTATTTCCACTACTTTAAACTTAGTATTACATATCCCCAACCATAAGGAAAATCAATAAACATTTATCAATATTCATAATAACTTAATTCTAACTTACCTCAACAGTAAAAATCAAGTTTACAGTTTTGTGTTCGGTACACATCCAATTATGGTTCAAAACTACTTAATTACAACAAGTTACTATGTGTATAACGGTTATAGCGACTTCATTCTGTATTGATTTTCTGTATGGGGCTACACATAATCTCAATGTTAACATAGTTTATTCTAATATATATATATATATATATATATATATATATATATATATATATGTGGTGTTATGAATAAGCATGCGTTTTCTGTTTTCATCAATCAACCAACTTTGAAGACCTGTTTTGTTGCAAATTTCAACTATATAGAAGTAAATATGCATTGTGATCGTGAACCGATCAATGTTGGATCACCATTGATCGATTCACGATCTAAGTTAGAAGTCAACAATCTTCACAAATCTATGCTCAATTCTGTATTGTTAATATGAAACATATATACTTATGTACATGGTTGATTTCATTAAGTGTTATTATTATTATTATTAATAATGTAAGATATATAAATATCGAGTACTTGAGATTGTTTATCTATTTCATTGTCAACTATTATTCCATTATAAAATCTAGTTACATTTAGTTTAATGTATGATAAATTGAAAGTATTTTCGAATTCAATGAACACCTTGATAGACGATATGACAAATAATACTGTCATTCACTATGATCCAGAAAAAAATATACGTAGCAACCTTCGATAGACACAGCACGATCCCCCTCATTGAAGCATTTTTTAAAAAAAAATTTACTTAGAAACAAAATGCAATACATCATAATTGACTAAAATACAATTTAAAAATTTAAGTCACATAAAGCATACAAATCTAATAACATTTAAGTACCATTATAAAAAATGATAAGTATCTAATCATCTTAATTAACTATTATAACGATCATGTGGAATAAGTAAGCTAAATACTTTAAACTCAATACTATTCTACTGCCAGGGAAGTCCTACTCATTGCCTTCTCGTGGCGGGGGTGTAGTTTACGAAAATGAGAGGACGAAAAGCGAATGTCCGGCGCTTTAACCGGATTCCAAGCCAATGGTGTACATGGGCTCCAGTATCCTGCGGGAACAAATAGCGTGTGAACCAATTGTTGGTCACCGGCTTCCATGGGAGTGCATCTCCTTACGATGCTCCACTGCCTTGTAGGTCAGACCTTCAGGTCGAAGGCTCGGGGTGTGACCCCCTAATTAAACCACCTGTTTCAGTTTGAGCGCCCGGTCAGTATCACAGCCCTCACACTTATCGAATGAGATTTGTGTGGCGCATATGTATTTGGTGCCTCTTTGTACCAATATCTATGTGTTGAAATAAATAAAATCTACTGCGAATACATCGCTGATATGTTCCATTTTGATCTTCTTTTTAAAAAAATAATCATGTTATAATGTAGATTGTAAATGATTTGAACAAACAAAATCAATTTCTGATTAATCGATAAATGATATGGAATGATACATCGTTTCGTGATCGAATGATTAGCAGCTACTCAAGAGATTGAACCATTGACATAAACCTTTGAATGATTTGAAATCAAAATACAAGATCAAGTGATAAAAGTATCATATATATATATATATATATATATATATATATAGAGAGAGAGAGAGAGAGAGAGAGAGAAAGAAACTTATCAGCATTGCGGAAGTGATTTTTTTAGGTTTCTGTTCAACGATCGACTTTCATGTACTGTGAATAATAGTAGCGATAAGCTGATTTATTACAGAAAAGGTTGTAGTTGATTGTGCTGAACTTATTAATTCTTCAATTGTTATTCTTAAGACTTTGTGTAACATAATATGCTCAAATCTTATCTTAAACGTTTAACCCTAAGGCAAACTTTAGTTTAATAATAATGTATTTTGATGTTAGTTCGTAATAAAGCTTGTAATCTGAAACCCCTAATTGTGATCCTAGCTAAAAAAACAAACAATGTAGATACTGCTTAAAAGATTTATTCGGTTTCTGAAGTCAAATTCATATACATTTGTTTATTTGTAATTTATAGAATACTTAATTAAGTTCATTAACTAAGTTAAATTTGTGTACAATGTGTAATATTACTATCATCATTGTTTTCTTCCCCATAACGTATCTATTTATAACGGATATTCTTTAACTGGTTCATCCATTTACTGTTTCTTATAACCACCGACTGCCCTAATGTGCAATGTTTCATGGTGTAAGAGTAGGATGGACGAAATCTAGAGGCGGCCAGACCAAAACATGGCACAAATCCATGAAGTCAATGACAAATGGACTAAGCCGTGTTGGTAGGTGTAGACTACCTGGTTGTTACCCGCGAGATGAAAGCAACCGATGGTTAGAGACCTTGAATGACATGGCCCAAAATCGTTTGCAATGGCACAGGTGCATCTCCTTTTTGTGTTCTCCCAAATTGTAATCACCAGAATTCTCCTTGTCTCTTTTTTTCTCTTTTTAAATATATTTCACTGGATTATACTGGTTGAATAACATCTTCAAACCCTAATGTTTCCGATTACTGGTTATACTTTTACTACCTCTACCACTTTGCGATTTGAATCGACAATTGTATCTCTGTGTTAATGTTGTATGGCAACTCGAACTGATGTACGTACGAACGAAGTTGTACGTTGTTGATTGACTCACTGATTTCAAATTGTTTGCTTCTCATTATTCTAGTTCTATCTTATTATGTTGATTTAATAATGTTAGCAATTTGGGTCAATTCACATTAATTATGAATGATTAGTAGATATCTAAAAAATAAATCATAGAACTACACCTAATTTACTTTAACTTTTTCAATATTCTATCCAGGGAATGATATACAATGTGAAATACTAATTACCCTCTTTAATCATATTCATATTTATCTCTTCAAATGATTAAATTTTTCTTTCGTTGTCGTTAATTAAGTTTTCCTTGTTTTTTCATTTCATAGAATATTCTATGTGATATGTCTGGATCATTTTTGTCACGTCAATGTTTTTGCAAAATTCTTGCTATCGGTGGATCTGTAAGTTTTCTTATGTTACATTCTATTTATTTGTATATGAATTGAATACATATTTGACTAATGGTCAATTATTGGTATTAAGATAGATAACTTTAGTGTATACTAATTAAACATTGCCTTTTTAAGAAAAGATGAATGATGGCTAGCATTAGAATCCAGGACTCATGATTCGTTCTTACTTTAGGACTTGTCAATTAGATGTACATACATCTCAGAGTTTGTATTCGCCACGGGGCTCGAACCAAGCATTATTAACTTCTTAGATTCCACTGCTAGCCATCATCCATCTTTGCTTATAATGCTTATGACTTAGTGACAGTATCGAGGCATTTGGCACAGGATGCACATATGCCGATAAGAGACTGATCAATCATAGTCCAAAATAACAATGGGAAGATTCAAGCAAAGCAACACCAAGTGAATTTAAACTTCACCCCATTGCACAAGTAGGTGGCTATCAGGAATTAGTAGCTAAGTAGAGAACGCGATGGCGTTTGAAGCGAACAGTACTGGGTTCTAGTCCCGAAGTGAACATCGACTCTGGGATGCAGGTACATACAGCTGACTAGTCTCAAATAGGACGAAACGCGCGTCTTGGATTCCACTGCTAGTCACTATCTATCATTGCTTAAAAAGTTCTATAATGAAGTAGATCACATCAGTTGGCATTCAAAGAAATACTTCAACTATGAGAAAATGAAATATATGAAAGAAACAGAACAACTTGAAATGTAACAACATACAGTATACAGAATATTAACAAATTAAACTTTATGGTAATCTATTGTAAATCAAGTATGATAAAAGGTACTTTCTGGTAATATGATTAGGGAAATATTACAATTAGTAACTAAAAATTGGGTAGTTTTTTTCGCCTCGTCCGATACTCTGTTTATATTCAGTCAGAAAATTGAATAATGATGTAATACTTTCATATCTCTAAGTTCTTGTCATTGTTTACTTAGTGGATCTTTGAATTATCAACTATGAACAAGATGTTTTTAAAAAAGATTGTATTGTGTATTGTGGTTAATGTGTTCTAATGGTACGTGTAGCGATTTTGTTTTGAGAGGGTTGATTTTGTCTTTATGAATGTTTTCTACGTATTATAGTTTGATTCTATGATATAGATTCGATTTAGAGGCTAAGAAAGTGTAGGGTGTGTTTAGTCACGGATGGCATGATTAATATTAATAATAATCATAATATAAGTATTCTGAAAATAACAATTATAGAATTTATGTCAGTTTACAGGCATGGTCAGCTTGTTATACATAGCTGGGAACCGTTGATTCTTTTTTAAAAGGATGTTCTGAGGATGTATGAACGGTGTGTTAAAGATCACTTCCAGTTCCATGACGGATTGAATATATTCATTTACAACGAGAGAAAATAAAACGGAATCACATATCATGGAACAAAAAAAGTAATAATTACAACGATATGTTAGTTAGGTCTACTCCGATACATGTGCCAGGTTATTGCGTGATCTGGGGTTTAATCATATCTATATGATTAAAATTAGTCAGTGTTACCATGTAAGCTAACAGCAGATATGGGTGTTCACTCAGTAATTAAAAACCACGACATTTAAAGTTCCCATAATTTCACTTTTGGAATCGGATACACATCTAAGTCATTTTCAGACGAGAATTAAGCATCGATGCAGTGAATAAATGATAGGAGTTGTTTTATTTCACTGACAGGTTGTAATATGTTATCCCAGAGTCTGTAAAATTTACTGGTAAAGTTATCCATATTAAGAGAAGGTTTAGAATGAGATTGCTTCACTAATGACGAAGAGTTACTGATACTTTAAATTGGAGTAGTTGCATACTGAATTGTTTCATTGGATTTGAAAGGTAGTTTATTAAGTATTCTTGTAAGTATAAGCTTCTTTTTGATTTCAAAACTATATCGGGTCTTATTTTACCCATGATTACATTTCTTAAAAATAAAGGATAATAAATCTTATTCATGGAAACCGTATTACATGCGCGTATCTGGTGCTGAAGTGAGATTTATCAAAGCATCTTGGGCATTTCATGGGTCTGGACGAACAACCAAAGTAAGTGACTGATTTTATCTTATTCAGTGTTTATTTTTTCCTTTCTGATCAAGAACAAATTGATTTGAATCAGTAAGCTTGTTCCCTATGTTTTTTTTGACTATTGTCGATTTGTTGTCGACAGTTAATGTTTTGAGGTCGATCTCAAATAGTCTCTTCGATTAGTTCTTTAACTTTTAGGCCCTACTACTGGAGACATAAATCTGTGTGATTAAGGCCGCGTCTGCTATTATTAAGATCGAAATGTTCCAATTCCTTTCTGAAGGAAATACCTTTTTTATATCACTTCAGTACAGTTAGCAGTAAAATTTCACCTCCGAAACTTAATTTTATGGCTTTTAGTCTCACTGTACTTCAACCTGGCCCGCCTAGTGTAGTAGAAACTAGTGAAACAATTGTAGCAGTCAATATAACTCCGTTGGGTCATTATAATAGGCAAACTTCACCATCATGTCAAAGTGGTAGCTACTGTCAAGATTTATATTTGTCTTCAACTGGACAACTGTCGGATACTAACTCAATGGTCGAAAATTGTAATGTACTCATTGTAACCCCCAAGCAGAATCGTGATATGAACACTATTAAAGTTCTTCACACCAAGTTGGATATTTGTTCAATACTATTATGTTTCTATTATTTAAACTAATCAATGTATTATTGTAATATACAAATTGAATAACTTTCCAAGTTAATATTCTCGATTTATTGAGTATGTGGTTGTAAAACTGATCAAACTGATCAATTAGGTGTTGTGTGGGTGATAAAATATTGTGATTCATTGTTTTCCTTTTTTATTTATTTATTTGAATACATGAATATTGGTGCAAGGGGGGCACCAGATACATATACTACGCCACACAATAATGAGAATGGGAAGAGATAAAGGATGTAAGGTGCGTGTAAAATGAAGAAAAAGAACGATAACGACCACAAATTAGTGTATGGTAGTGAAATAGTAATAATAATGGGGGAAACAGGAAGGTACAACCAGAAAGAATTCTTCCAGTTGAAGAAGTTACGGTCACTTTTTATGAGGAAAATAAAAGAAGGTTACAGCAGGATCGCCACTGGCTTCTATTCTGAGCCATATCTGATAATCTCATTAGCCACTGTGTTACACCATCTCTCGGACCTCAACCAAGGGATTCCTGAAGGACCTGGACACAGACTGATAGATAGTCTGTTAAGTATTTGATATGTCATCTATATATTTCTTTATCCCTATTCTTATACTTGATTGTTGGCGAATACATGTACTGGTCAGTAGAACCACTTGTTTTTGATTCGAGCCCCTGGTATAATAGTGCTGGTCGAGCATCTAGTATAGACTAGGTAAATCGTTTACACATATAAATCGTTCATTATTCATTGTATGTAATTTAATGTATCCTATCAGTGTTAAAGTAGCTTCCATAAAAATTCCATATAGGATTTTCATTATCTACCAGTTGTATTGTATTTTCCTATTTATCAATCGCATTAACTCTTAGTAAAACAAATTATGTCACTATCTTGAATGATTCTGATTGAAATTCTACCACTCATTAATCTTATCACATATAAGACTGTATGTAATAATGATGTTACCCTCTTGACATTCGAGATATCGAGATAGAGGTCAAAAAATTATACAGAAATATTTTAACATCTTACATTGGTTAATCTATTCATTTATTGAATTTAATTGTGAAATACTACTCTCTAGACTACTAATGATTATTCAATTGTTTTGTTTTTATAATACAAAACTGAAAGAAAAAAAATTTACTTGTGTTTATCCATATAGTACTTTGTAAATGTAATCTGAGTAAATGGTGAGTAATCAGTCGTTTGTTTAAAGAGAATTAGTTATTATTCAATATTTCTACTAGCTGTATGAATTTAGTGCTGTAAATGAATATTTCATTTGTTAAATTAATATGATTAGTCTAAGTTGATTTCATAGTTCACTACATGCCTCTTAAAGCTAATAATCTTTCACCGTACCCAGTGATTCAATAACCGCAGAATCCTGGTATTTATTGCTTCGTAAACACCTTATATCTTACGGTGTTTAATAAGAAGACAAATAGAGTAAACAGGCTTTTCCTTGAATTATTGTATTGTATTGTCACAATAAATAAAGAAAAGAAAACAATTCGCTGAAGAATAGCTCAGAGTTCCACCCTTACTAAATATCTGATCCGATCTAACTAAACTTCAGTGGGCTTTTTTTAAAAAAATTTCATTTTATCAAGTGTTCACCTATTTCTGATTGATGATACACAACAAAGTCAGTGTTCGACTGTGTTCGTTTGTAAATTTCGCTCTAATGTTTTTTTGGTGGAATTGTATTTCATCTCAAGAACATGGACTAAGTAGTATTATAGGGGGTTCATTTATTTTATTTATTTAAACGCATAAGCACTGGTACAACGAGGTACCAACCAGATATGTGTCACATCAATCATTTGATTTGTATGAGGGCTGGAATACTGTCTGCGTTCCTAAACCGGAGCAGATGGTTTTCTTAGGGAGTCACACCCGGAACCTTCGACCTATAGGTCTGATCCACAAGGCAGTGGATCAACGTAAGGAGATGCAGTCCCATGATAGCCGGTGACAAATAATTGATTCACACGCCATTTAGTTTTGAATCAGAGTTTTCCAAATTCCCTAGATGGATTCTCACTGGATTATACTCCTTGAATAACATCTTCAAACCCTAATGTTTCCGATAACCGCTTATAATCTTACTACCTTTACCACTTTAGGATTTGAATCGACAACTGCATCCCCATGCTAATGTGGTATGGCAAGTCGAACTGATGTACGTACGTACGAAGTTCTACTTTACTGCTGACTGACTGAGATGGACTCTTCGTGTCCACGAACCCGGTTAAAGCGTTGGAAATTCTCTTTCCGTCCTCTCAAATTCGTAAACAACATCCGTGGCGAGAAAAGGCAGTGAGTAAGATTTCCCTGGCAGTGGTTGTATGCACGTGATGAGAACCCTAAATCTATTTTCTAATCCTAAACCTCAACTGTATATCGTAATTCCAATTCCTCGCATTGCTTTATAAACCTCATTTAGCCCTAGCAAGTAGGTGTGCATTCTCAAGGTCATTTTAGAGTTGCCCAAAGGTCGTCCATAAATTATAGTTTCACCAATTAATCACGACTCCTAATAGTGCACACAGATATACACACACAATGTCAGCGACCGAATGTAGGAAACTATGACACCAGTTCACTGTGAATTTTACACCAAGTGCTTAACTACTATATATATTTATATATTAGTCTAATTACGTAAGCAATCTAACTTACTATTTTCTTGACACTGTTGTACTACATGAATCATGTGTATTCCTGTTAATCTGTTCAACATGTTTAACTTCTTGTCCTATTTTAAATGGTAGTTATTCAACAAATCCATAAAGTTTATTCTTTGTATATCATATTTTAAAGGTTACACACAAGTATATATATATATATATATATATATATATATATATATATATATATATATCTATTTGTTTATCTATTTGTCAGTGTTCATTTCATCTTAATTCCTGAGTACAATGTTTTACTATGTGATACACATTATTATTCATTAGTTAATAATCAGAATTGATAATTATCAAGTTCAGTGCTTTTGTTTTTTTTTTAAATATTGTAAATCAATCGACCTGTTTGTACGTGTTGCTCATACATCCGCTCACCCCCACCCCTACCCCTACCCCTACACACCCACCCACCCACTCTGTGGTAATTAAATAAACAAACAGTTCTATGTGAATAATTTTCGATAACCTTGTATAACCTTTGTTTACCAACAATGGTTTCCATCGTATTCTCCAAAACAGTGTGTACATATATATATATCAACAGATTAATGAATTTGGAATGATATTGCGTAATATTTGTTTTGTTTTTTTAATTATTGCATCTAAGTGTTCGTATAAGTTGATTGTTTATATAATTACTAGTGTTGATTTAGTACAAATGTCTGTTTTCTTTTATCTTTTTTTGTGTTCAGTTCAACTTTGGCAATGATACCAATACATTTTATAATATTGTAACAACGTAGAACTTGATACGGACTGACTGACTGTGTTCAGTTTTATTTTCGTGTAGTGGTTTTCAAATCTTTGTCCATCTTATATCTTATTAATTGATTAATCTTTACAATATTGTAAAATGTATTGGTATCATTGCCAAAGTTGAACTTGATAGTTATTAATCCATATTATATTTTTTGTTATATCCCAATGAATAAAAAAATTATATTTCTAACGTTTCGTGACTTAACGTAAGCCACTTCTTCAGTGTAAATGAATAACCGAATTTAAATTTACACAAGTTCCATACTAGGACGAAACAACAGTCTAATGCTTTCAGGATCTCAATGATGGTTTAACTTAAATCAACTCGTGAATTCAACAGTGTTAATTTAAATTCGGTTATTTATTTACTCTGAAGAAGTTTATTTATTTATTTTAACGCATAGATATTGATACAAAGGGGCATCGAATAGATTTGTGTGTGGGTTGTGTTACTGACCGGGTGCTCAAACCGAAACAGGTGGTTTTCTTAGGGGGCCACACCCCGAGCCTTCGATATGAAGGTCTGATCCACAAAACAGTGGAGCAACGTAAGGAGATGCAGTCCCATGGTAGCCAGTGACCAACAATTGGTTCATATGCCAATTGTTCCTTCAAGATACTGGAGCCCATGTTCACCATTGATTTGGAATGAGGGTTTTCCGACTCCCCTAGATGGACTGTCCATGTCCAGCAACTCGGTTTAAGCTCCAGACATTCGCTTCTCGTCCTCTCAATTTCGTAAACAACACCGTTGGTGCGAGAAAGCAGTGAGTAGGACTTCCCTGAAAGTGGTTGTATGTACGTGGCCATGAGAGAGAATTTGGAGAGGGAGAATGGACTCCCCACTCTCAGCCGTACCAGGGCATTTGGTGGCACTCTGAAGAAGTGGCTTACATTAAGTCACGAAATGTCACAAATATAATTTTTCTATTCATTCGGATATAAAAAAGTATATTTATTATTGTGAGGTTTAATTGGTATAAATTCAAATCAGTCAACTGGATAAAAAAAGAAACTCGTTCATGTAGATCTCACTCGGTATTAAACCCCATTGAGCACTAAATAACCATCAATTGATTCCGTTCAATTGTTGTAAAGGCTTATCCAGAGTACATTGCTCAAATAAATTAAGGAATATGATGTAATACTGCCTCGTAAAGTCTTCTACTGTGTTGCGCAATCTGCAATATGATCTAATAGTTCAATTTATCACTTCGTAATCAGATAAAAATTAGATATTAACGTTGGTATTTTTTTAATGTTATTTAAAACAATTAAAGTCTGTTAGAATCAGGTACCAAAATATTACATTTGCTACAGAAATGGATGGTAAAAGTATTTGGATGATACTGTTCAGTTAAGAATGCAATCAAGAAAAACTTTCAGTCAAGCTAGTTCCGATCACTTATTTAAAAATGAACCGTAACATGACTACTACTCGGTTATAATGTAAATCACGTTTGATAACATCTCAGGCTACTAAATCACACCATGTTTAGGAATTCGATCAGGGAGTTATCATAGTTCAATAGATGTCAGTCAGATAAAGCTTTCTTTCATATCCCTAGCGTCATGTCATAAAATGACTATCTGTAATCTTCTTCCGTCCACTGTTTGCAACTAATGCGCAATACACTAGCCATCGGGATTATATTTGTTAAACTTGACCAAGGCACCGAAATGATAACTGAATTATCATCACTGTGCTCAATCACATATTGTCTGACATCAGGTTCACTAACATGGCACTGACATAGGTTGTGGCCAATCCTCTGAAAACGATTATGTAAGATACATAGTTGCCTAGCCTATTTATTGTCTACAAATTTCTACATACATCTTAAATTTATTCTTTTTCGCATAGAATCATACATCGGCTTAACAGAGATTGCGGCTCACAGTTTAAATTTGCCTTTTAACCAATGTTTTTCATAGTCAAATTTATTGATTCCTGTTTAGGGGTTTATTTAATTTATTGTGAAATATGTGCAAATCGGTTATAAATTGGATCACATCATTGTTGATATATAGATTGGTTTTTTTTTCAAGCCGAAAAACTAAGCTCGTAACAATTGATAGGATTGTATAACAATGATTTGAATATACACTTATTTGTTTACTGAAATCTACTTGTGTAGAGATTGGTCGATTGATCAGTGAAACTTAACGTAGAACCTAGTATATTTGTGTATTGGTTCAAGCTGTCACACGAGATCATCACAGCCAGATAGAAGAATGATAGAAATAATAACACTGTTATTGCTAGTAGAAAAGATTAAGCATACACATTATAGTTCGGGAAGAAAACACAATTCCATCGAAATAAACTTTGAAACAAAGAGTCAAAGGGTAGATAAAGAGTTGTTTTTTGTTGTTGTTGTTGAAAACAATATGTATTTGCTCTAATGCGACCGATTCTGAATCATTCCATTCAATGTTACCAACTGTTAGTTTCTACATGAATCAGGTAATCTTCATGTAGACTGTGATAATTATTCAGTTCATGTATTCAAAAATGTAATACAATGTTAGATAATCCTATGTAGATTATAATGTTAATTGCATAGAACCTATCTTACTTCATTCTAGTTTGCACTACTTTGATGGAGATAAAAAAGAATACTATGAAATGAGACTGAGCATATATTGTGAACCATTAAAATTAAACAGTACATACTTTTTTATGGAAATGTTTACTAGTAATTGAAAATTAATCTTGACTTGTAAAATATCGTCGAATAAGCAATCTTATCTTATTATATTTGGTTTGAAAGAGATAAATTGTAAATGATATTGTCATAATTTGTGACCGCCGATTCGAGAGCAGTGACTTATCGATCGGATCAAAGACGCGTAAACCCGTATGAGCAGTCTAGAGTCTGGATTGGCCCTGCTTTCCGCCTAGCCCAGCCAGTTAAGTCCAGAACATCAGTCTCAGCCTCTGTAATATGGATCATGTATTTTAAACATACTCGGTTTATATACCAATCAAGCAGACCATATCGTACCATAAAATAGAAAATAACATTTGTACAATATTTGGCCAACAGGAAAATGACACGTGAAATAAATATTGACCAGTATGGAAACGACACATCAAATAAAAATTGACCAATATGAAAATGATACCATTTCAAGTCCAAGGATAGCATTAAACTTAACCGGATAATTTTTGGGATATTTTTCTGAATATCCCAACAGATATCAACTCTTTCTCTCTCCTTTTATACAACAGAATGTTTGTAGCAACAGTTTATTTATTTTTTCATGTGTTTAAATTATGGACTGTTGTTAGTTTGATTACCGTTAAATACCTTGAACATTAGACGGTTGTTTCGTCCTAATATTGGACTCCTCAACAATGCGCATTCGGATATTGAAATCAGAAATTTCGGTTTCTCATATATACGTTTATCCTATGAACAACTTAGTCGGTATACAACATTAGTAATATTTAACTTTAGTCAATCCACAATGTGTTTTTTTTTTACCAAAAACTTATGGGTAAATGACAATATCAAAGCAAATCACTCACAATCTATTGCCGAATATAGACGGGTAAAACGTTTTGTCTTTAATCACAACAGTGAGGAAATTCATATCATTACATAAAGATATAGTTTGTTTCTTTTAGTTGTTAAATACTATTGCCATTCTGCTTCATATCCATCTAAATTATTAATAAATATTTCTATTATCAGTAGGGGTTTTGTGGAGATTTTAGAAATTTCACTAATTGAAATCATGAGTCAATTGAAGCTAGACCACCATGGAAAACCTAGAAGCGCTCGCGCGCGAGACTGATAGATCCTGTCTTCGAATCTCGCGGAGGGCGGGATCATGAATGTGCATTGTCGAGGAATCCCATACTCGGATGAAACGGCCATCCAGTGCTTCCAGGTTTTCCATGGTGGTCTAGCTTCGATTGATTCATGATTTCAACTAGTGAAATATTTCTATGGTTAGTTGTAATTTCTTCCGTTTGTAACTGCAATTGTATTTATTCTATCCTAAACAAGTTACATTGTTTTTTTCTTCATTTTGTAAACAATAGACTTCTAAAAGTAAAAATGATATTATCTATCCAAGAAATAATAGTTTGGGTAATCTTCGTGATAATTATTGTTCTCGGGGAACACTGGATACCTCTAAATCTCATGATGATTTAAATGATGATTCTATTACATATTATTATCCTACATACAATACCGATATGGATTGTTCAAACAATACTATTAATGTTAATAAATCATTTAGCTGTAATGCATCGTGTTTAATTCTTCCGATACCCGGTCTTATTTGGTGTTCAGAACAATTGCCTGCCAATTTCCCTAATTGGTTACCTCTTGGTTGTAATTCAAATCATAATAGTAACAGTACTCAAACATTAACTTCACGAATAACCAGTGGTATTAATAACAATAATACTAGTGGAATAAATCCTGATTGGATGGATCCTCATGTTTCTGGTCTATCTCAACAAATTTTATCAGATCTCAATGATTGTTATAAGTCGAATACAGTAGATTTCCAAAGTAATACTACTACTACTAATAATAATGTAAATATGAATGATGAAGTTAGTTGTCGGTCGAAGTTTCGTTGTTTTCGTTTCGCTCATTTGACAGCTGGTGTCGAATTATTATTCGTATTTCCAGATGAAAATGCAGCAATGACTTGTTTAAAAATGTGTCAGGTAATTTTGTTTTTTTTTTTGTTTTTTTATCATATATATTGACCTTCACAGTTCACTAATTTGGGTTTCAATTTGTATCATCTTGTGTAAACCTCCCGTTGAGATGCTGTACTATTTCGTTTAAAAAATCTCAATTGAATATGAATAATGACCAATGAGATTAGATATAGAGTTTCATTGTTTACACCACAGATTGTTTCTAGTGATATATCAATTGAGAACCAGGAAACACTAGACGACTATTTCCTCCTACTATGGGACTTCTCAGCAGTGCGCATTAATGACCCCGTTTGATATGGCCAGAGCTTAACATTCAAACGAAATGGGTTTACATTTGTAACCTTAATCATTTCATCACCTTGCGTAACCATTATCCAGTTCCATTTTTGAGTAACTGCATCCCATCCGACCTGCTTTAACTGCCCTTATCACGGTTTCTCATTAAAACTCTATGCATTACTCTTTTCAAAATTAGTCACTAGTGAGCACACGATGATCATTACGATGAGGGGTTAGTGGTGGTTCTTGAGTTTCATTATTTAGATCACAGCATCATCTTGGACAACTATTTAAATCCAGGAGACACTTATCAGTATTACTAACCCTAACCAGAGCAAAGGATTTGTGGAGCAAGTTGAGTGTTTTTATACAAATTCGTGAAAGTTTGAAATACTAGTCAGTCGTTACACTATTTGATGATAGTCTTACATAACATTAATTAATGATACTCATTTAATTGTGTATCTGTTTTTCATATGATTTCGGAAACGCCATATACAAAAAGTGCTGATAAAACTTCTACTTACACCTAAATCTGGTAACCTAATCGATTGATTATGGGGCACATGATCTTGATCATAACAATGGAATGATGGCTTCTTGATTAATGCATTCGACTTTTAGCCACTAAGTTACAAGGTTGAACGCTGTTCCGCCTGCCTCTATCTAGGCAGTCAGATCGTATCACTAACCTCCACATTTATTGTTTATCTCAAAGCCAAGTACATGAATCTGTATCTAGTGTTGGGGATACTAGATCCCCAGAAATCACCTGATAAACGTCACATTTTTGTAATTTTATCATTAAAAAAAATTAATTTTCTCATCCTCACTCCAAAAGCGCCCACATTTACCTTCAATTTGTATTTCCCACTTAGAAGGACCTTAAATGTTATTAGTTTATTTCCTCTTTGGGTACACGTTTTTGCACTGCATATATACGCATGAGTTGTATGGTTGCCCGTTTGTGCTTCCGACTACTTGTGGAATATAGATTTCCCTCGGTTTAATCTGGTGATTTTCCTCTAGCTACCAATACTGGGGCGTAGTGGAATAGCTTGGCTTGTCCTGTTGTTGTGTTGATAACTTTCGAGCCGTTCGCCAGTTTTAGATGAGATCGTAATCTTTTCAAACGTAACAGCCAATATTGAATTATATCATTATAGTTTAAAGATAATAACCAGTAAACAGTTGCCAATCAATTAGTAAACTAAAAACTCTATGTGACACTATCGTACAAATTCAATTCTCAGGCGTAGTAAGGATATAATGATGTATATCTACCGATAATTTTAAAAATCACTTATCATGAACATTTTTAATTGAAAATAGTAATTAATTGATAAATTCACGGTTCTCATCCACGACCCTGCACCCAGAGGAATTCGAACCCAGGACCTGCTGGCTTCGCGCGCGAGCACTTAACCACTAGACCACTGAGCCGGCACCCAACAGTGTTAATGTACAGTGGGTCCTGGGTTTGAATCCCGCTGGGTGCGGGGTCGTGGATGCGCACCGCTGAGGAGTCCCATACTAGGACGAAACGGCTGTCCAGTGCTTCCAGGTTTCCCATGGTGGTCTAGCTTCAATTGACTCATGATTTCAACTTGTGAAATTTCCAAAACTCTCCACAAAACCCATACTGATAAAATTCACGGTTGTCAATCTTGAATGATGTTAGTTCAATTCAATTATCTGCCATTGAGCGTTATCACCTATCTTTATATATATATATATATATATATATATATATATATATATATATATATAAGAATAATCCTGTTACAAGTACACGTTTTATTTAGTCAATTTTTTGATTGCGTGATCTGATTGAAGTTAGACCACTGTTGACAACTTTGGAAACATTAGACGGTCGGTTTGTTCTTGTACATGGAAGTTCTCAGACATTTGAAATAGGAAAATTTATCAAAATGCATATCTCCGTCTTTTTTTTCTTTGTCAGCTTTCTGGTGGACGTGACTATGATTGTGTTGTTGAACAGTTAGGTCATCGTAATGCATGTAAGTTGTTCATGTATTAAGTTTTCAGTAATTTTCATTTTCTAATTGATAATTCAAATGCTTGTAAGATTGAGAAAAAATATGTGTAGTAGCCAAAGTTGTTATATAACACTAACTCGGCAAGATAAAAATAATATAATCAGTGGATGGATACAGAGGATCTATCTAGGGGAGTTGGAAAACCCTGATTCAAAATCAGTGGTGCACATGGGCTCCAGTATCCTGAGGGAACGAATGGCGTATGAACCTGTTTGCTGGACACTGGCTATTATGAGACTGCATCTCCTTACGTTGCTCCACTGTCTTGTGGATCAGACCTTTAAGCCAAAGGCTCCGGGTGTGACCCCCTAAGAAAACTACCTGCTTCGGTCTGGGCACCCGGGTAGTACCCTAACCCTCGCACAAATCGAATGACTTGTGTGGTGCATATCTGTTTGGTGCCCCTTTTTACTAATGATTATATGTCTGAACAATGAATAAATAAAAATATGGTCAGTGACAAAAGAGTTGAAATAATGTAGAAAGATTAAATATTGAGGATGTTTTTCGAGACGAGTGAATGAAAATGTATATATAAAGGAATAGTCGAACTAGATCTTGGAGTATGATAAACAATGAATTTATATGTACCGTTTTAATCGATTATGAATCGTGTTTTGTTGTCTTCAATCACTGGTCTATTTTATTATGTAGACCTCAACAAGATAATATGCACTTACCAAGACGAAAGTCAGCGACTTCATGAAGTGATGCCATGCCTTGATGTGGGCGCCTACAGTTATCTTCCTTCCTTTATATCAGTTGGTGATAATTCGCAAAAATAGTTACCGACCTTTCATCTTTGTCTAGTGCCATAATTCTTGTCTTACTATTTCCCCCTTTGTTGCTGTACAATGCCTGTGCGATACCTGGTAGACATTTATGGTTAAATACTCACAGGCCAAATATGAAATTTATTTCCACAGACCATGTCATTGAGTAGTATAGAGAGTGACTGATGATCGTCATTCTCTCACTTAACTACTTCACTCCCCATGTTCATTTCAAGAGTCCACTCAGACTATTCTTGAAGTAGCTTTTTACGTCTACAACAATGCATCAAAGCGACTTGGTTCTCTCTACCTCCTTCTGGATACCGAGTAATTTTGCATGCTTATTCTTTAGATACTATAATATTAGTCAAATGATTTATCTTTGTTCATCAAAAGACCTTTATCAACTGAGGTTCTTGCTAGTATCTAAGCCAACTTACCTGCTTAAAGAATTTCTTGTAACACAAAGTTTCGAGATTGAATCTCATATGGTTTATCTTCTGTACACACTATTGAAGTGTTTAACAGGTTATCTAAGATCAATCTATAATATGTAAACTATGAAAATTCAATAATTTCCACATACTGGTCTCCTTATACTACTGATTATTTAATAATCTGAATGTTATCTGTTCTTTCTTTTTCTACAAGCTACATTGACAACGTATCGTAAAAAATCCTCATCTAATCCATATGAATTATTTCTCCTCAAGTTATCATCGATCTTATCTGAAATCCCAACAAAATTAAATCAAAGTTTGTCTCATGATTTTACAGTAAAAGGTAATCAATATCGTGTACCTCCTCTAGCAAACAACGATGATGACGATATGGATAATGATTACACCGGTAACAATAACCCTGACGATTTGGATAATTCAATGCATAGAGATGTTTTTATTCAACCAGGTATTACAAATTTTATAACTACTTGTAGCCCTTTCATCACCAATACCTATGGACCATATTGTTTAATGAAAGATAAAAGGCGTCTACATCGACGTTATGTTATTCATCAGTCATCGACTGATTCAGATTATTCAAATGCTATGGCTGATGGTGAAGATGTGAATTCAATAAAATGTAATAAATCTGATGTTGCTAATAAATTTCGAACACGAACTCGAGAGAAAATTGATTTAGGTTGGTAATTTTATTATTGAATCTAAGTTTGTTCCTATTTGTTGTTGTTGTTGTGAAAACAGATATTAGTTTGTGATTTGGTTACAACTCACCATTTCGTAAGACTATAATGAACAAAAACTCAGGTATTGTAAGCCACACTGTGTCTTTGAAAAATATAAAAATCATACATTAAACACATCATTTGTATATCTTCCTTGAGTTGTCCTTTACATACTCCATCATTATTTCAATCCTGTTGTTATTCTAATTGCCCTTCGTTTTCTTTCCTGTTCGTGACAAAATGCAGAGTCTTCTGACCACTCTAAGCAACAATGCATGCATGTTCGAGATGTGATTCTCCCCATTCTCGAAATCAAAATGTTGCTTCAGGATTGGGTTGCATTGACACCCAAACCAATGATAAGGAGTGGAGTAGTTGAGTGTGTCGACCGCTTCACTTATCTTGGAAGTCTCATCAGCCCTTGTGGTCTTGTATGTGACGAAATCTCAGCACGGATACAGAAGACTCGATTAGCTTGCTTTTGTTAACTTGCGTCATCTATGGCGTAGGTGAGATATCTGTCTATCAACCAAAGAACGTGTTTACTGCGCAGCAGTTCGTTCCATCCTACTTTATGGCAGTGAAACATGGCCGGTAAGAGTAGAGGATATTCGTAGGTTACTAGTATTTGATCATAGGTGTCTTCGAAATATTGCTCGTATATCGTGGGACCATCGAGTAAGTAACTCAGTTGTTAGGAAACGAGTACTAGGTAAGGATGGCAAATCAATTGATGAAGTGATGAAACTTCATCAGTTGAGATGGCTGGGACACGTGTTACCTATGCCCAACGACCGACTGCCTTGAAGTGCGATGTTCAGTGGTATAGGAGTAGATTGGAAGAAAGCTAGTTGCGGCCAGACCAAAACATGACACAAATCCATGAAGTTGCTGACAAATGGACCGAGCCACGTTGGTAGGTGTAGACTAATTGGTTGTTATCCGCGAGATGATAGCAACCGATGGTTAGAGACCTTGATTGACATGGCTCAAAATCGTTTGCAATGGCGCAGGTGCATCCACTCTTTGTGTTCTCCCGAATTCTAATCTCCTGATTCCTCCTTGTCTCCTTTTTTCTCTTTCCAAATTTATTTCACTGGGTTATACTCTTTAAATAGCATTTCCAAACCTAATCTTTTCGATTACTGCTTATACTCTTACTACCTCTTCCACTACGGCATTTGAATCGACAACTGCATCTCTATGCTAATGTGATGTGGCAACTCGAACTGATGTACATACGTACGAATTTCTACGTTGTTACTGACTGACTGACTTTCCTGTTCTCTTTATTTCCATCTTCTTTATTCTATACATTTATGTAAACATTTATGTACAATGAGGCACCGAATATATGTGCGCCACACAAATCATTCGATTGCTGTGAGAGCTGGAATATTGTCTGGTTGCCCAAACTAAACCGGATGGTTTTCTTACAGGGGCACTCCCAGAGCCTTTCACTTAGAGGTAGAGGTCTAACCCACGAGGCAGTAGAAAAACGGTAGGAGATGTAGTCCAATAATAGCCAGTCACCAACAATATGTTCAAACACCATTCGTTCCCTCAGGATCATGGAGCTCATGTACACTATTGGCTTGGAATCAGGGTTTTCCAACTCCCTTAGATGGATCCTCCATCATACCTATCAACTCGGATTAATTCCCTACCGGACATTCGATTTTCGTCCTCTTAATTTCCTAAACAACACTTGTGGTATGAGAAGCCAGTGAGTAGAACTTCCTTGATAGTGTCTGTATACATGTGTTCATGTGGAAGCATTAATAGATGAAGAGCTGACTCTTTCCACTCTCGAACGTACTGGGCAATTGGGGTTACTAAACACAATCGTGCATTGATAGAGTTTAAAAGAATTTTTTGTAATAGTGGCCTTATATCTCTTTTTACTTTCGCATTTTCAAAATGTGCCCAGTAGGATCACTTTCTCATATATACTGATATTTTTTTACATTTATTTGAATAAAAGTTTTAAATAATTCTCGACCTTTCTTATCTGTAGATGGTATTCGATCGGACAACACTGAGACAATGATAAACGAAATCTCCAATAATAATAACAGTAATAATCAGACAACGTCTGATGTAACTCCTAGTAATATTAACAACAGCGTTGACGATAAATCACATTCAACTAGTTTAATTCGTACAAATAAAATACTACGCGGATTCAAACAATGGCTTCAACGTCCTGTTGGTGTAAATAATAATAATATTAATAGCAATAATAATGCCAGTAGCACCAGTAATAGTATTAGTACTAATGGTCCCTCAGTTGGTTCAATTAATTTCTCAACTGCAAATAACCCAACCAATACAATGAACAACATTGTCACCTCTACCACTGGTTATTTTAGTGGTAGCTGTGGAAGTACCACCACCAGCAGTGTAAATTATCATAATGTAAACAGTAATAACAATTGGGATATATCTTCTACCGTGGATGTTTCACATTCGGAATCTCCAAATAATGAACATAAATTCAGCTCACTAATGACAGGTATGTATACATATGTATGTAGATATACAGTTTGTGTGTGTGTGTGTGTGTGTACATATATACACGTTTTTATGTACACATACATAAGGACGGTGATTTTATTTACAATAATTTTACTAAACTTGCCATCTTGCTTTCCTTCCTAGTTTGTATGACGTACTGACTGTAGTTAGATCACTACTGAAAACCAGGAAACACTGCATAGCTGTTTCATCCTAGTATTGAATTTTTCATCAGTGCACATGTACGGCCACACAAACGGGAATCGAACCCAGATATCTCATCCAAATACTACTAAAAAATAAGCCTCTAAACCATGCAATGGTGTACATATCTAATTTCACTTAATTCGCGATATCACACAACCAACTTTCGTTGCATTGTCTAAGATAAAATAACTTCCTCATACCCAACATGGTTGGACTTGGCTAGTCGCACCCTCTTACTAGAAATAAAAGGTCACCAGTAAGCATAGAATTATTTTTAGTATGTCGAGGGGGACGGGAGCAGGTTTGTAGAGATTGTTAAATTTAGATAGTTTACATTTATGACTATGTTAAACTATGAAGATTTTGTTTCTTTGTTTCTTTCTAATCGTCGCCGTTATTGTGGTCACACTAATACTTCTTATCTACTATTTGATCGTTGCTGAATTTTAGGCACATTATGGTTGATCATTATTGAGAGCGTGTGCGAGTCAGTGATCGACACTGAGTGAATCATAAAACATTTATATTTGTTATTCAGAAATACAATAGACTGTTTTCATGATTTATCCGTTAAAAATTATAGCAATACAAAAAATTGAATTTATTAGTCTGTGGAGAGAGTTAGCTTTCCCTCTCAAAATGCTTTCATATGACCATGTGTATACAGACACTGTCAAGAAAGTTCTACTCACTGGCTTCTCACATCACGAGTGTTGTGTATGAAATTAAGAGGACGAAAAGCGAATATCTGGTCGGGGCCTAAACCGAGTTGATAGGTATGACGGAGGATCCACCTAGGGGAGTTGGGAAACCCTGACTCCAAACCGTTAGTGCACATGAGTGATATTTTAACTGGTGTAAAAGTGAGTTTAAAAAAATGAACTACCAAATCAAAGCGTTGCATCATTTTTCCAAGTTCTTGAATTTTTGTTTTAGTACAATGTTGATAGCTACAAACTACTGGCTGGTTTACAGCGCTGAGTGACTTGGCTTGTAATCTGTCACAAATTCGTAGATGCATCCAATCCTAATCGTCTTCTAAATCCTTGAGTTGTAGTGTTCGTTCATATATACCTTTTCAAAATATGTTCTCAACATTTGTCTGTCTTACTAACGTTATTAACCCTACATGTGTTTCAAATCCTTTGCCATTCATCAGGTGAATGATATTTCGTGGTTGGATGATGTAGTTAGAATGACACATCTTTATGTCAAGTTCTTCATTGATTACAACAGACTATTTACCTAAAAACGTTTTCTTTTACCTCAGACTACCTAGTCATAATCAATAGTTAGGGACTTGGGATGACATGGGTCAAAATCGTTCACAGTAACGGGGGTGTATTCTTTCAGAACCTATATTTTCTTCACGAATAGTATCTTCGATGTTTGATCTTTTCTATTTTCATTCATACTGTTCCTACCTCTGTTACCCCGGAATTTACCCCAATAATTTCTTCTCACTATGCAAATGGGACGTTTCAAATCTTGGACTGATTTACATTGCATTTGACTGACTTTATTTTACTGCATTAATTTTTACTAACCCTCATCAATGCATAACACATTTTGCTTGTAATTCATTGAAACTAACTAACCACTCTTTTTATGTCACTATTCCATTCGACATTGTTCAATAGTACGTTAATCATGTTTATTTTATTGCCTTAGAAATAATAATTCTGTAATTATACAACTTGATAAGCTGAATTATTTTGTATTTGTAGTTTTCCTCATTATCTACCACTAAATTTGCCACTATTATGTCCAACTTTCAAAAAAAAAAAGAAAATATTGTAGCATTGATACTGAATGATGATACCTATTCCGATCAAAGACTGATCCAGTGTTTAATCAATATTTATTAGTTCCAATGGATACAGTTTTTTTCTTTCAGTACACATGTGTTCTGTTTATATAGATATACTTTTTTTTGTGTATGGAAAATAACAAATAAGTTATGATACTAGACCATACACTACCTTTTTTCTTCATGCGTGTATCTGTGTGTGACTTGTTTCAACGATGAATGTGTAACTGATTTTTTTTGTCTCTTTATACCTCATTTTGTTGTTATCGCTGAACAGAAGGCATTTTTTTTCTTGGCAGGATTAATAATTCGTAGTTTTTCTGTGATTGTAAAACTTGTAGTGTGTGTGTGTGTGACTAGTTGATAAGCATTTTATCAATATCATAAGTTCCTACTACTTCTTATCCACGCGTGATTATATAGAAGCTTAGTCGATATTACCAGAGCAAGATTCACCAATCACGATTCCAGATTCAAAATTCTCTATTCTAAGTATACTACTTTGTATATGGTCTAACGTACTAATTTTTCACTAATGACACCCTGCTGAGATAACTCCACTTCTATTGGTTTGGAACACAGTTTTTTTTTTTCTCTCTCTCTCCAGTAGTAGATAAGCTCTTATTATATATTTTTCACGCACTCATAGGTTTATATATATAACTTATCAGACTACGATACACCCCAAGTTAGGTATCACACTTCACATACAATCAAGCCATATATGCTGGAGAATGGAACAAAAGTTGAAAACTTAATTAACGTTTAACAATTGTTAATTGATTGAGATCATAAATCGACCAATGGTAGGCTACCATTGAGAACCTGGAGGCACAGGAAGGTCATTGAATGCCGGTCCAGTGGTCTAGACGTTAAGTGTTCGCGCGCGAAACCAAGAGTTCTGAGTCCGAATCCCACGTGCGGCATCGTGGATGTGCACTGCTATAATGTCCAATACTAGGGTGAAATAGCCATCCAGTGCTTCCAGGTTTTCAATGATGGTATAACATTGATCGATTCATGATCTCAATCAAAAGTCATCAATCTCCACAACTCTATACTGATAATGCTTTTGGTTTCAAGTTTCAAACCATTAAGTCGGCTATGTGATGAGGACGAATGTAACTTCCCGTTGTTATTGGTTTAAGGTTGCTTTGTATATGACAGGTTTATCAAATTTGAGTACATGGATTTTCGGTTCAATGGTTGTATGGTTATGTTGAAGTTTAACTTTTTGGATTCGTATATCCAATCTGTTACCGTATGTGTATAGTAGTCTCAGACTAGTTCAACAAAAGTTTCAGTATATTTAATATGTGACTAATAGTGGAAACAAGTTCCTAACGGGTTTCGTCAACTGAGTGTACTTGTATTAATGTAAGTGTTTACATTAAGACTCATACTCAACAATTTACGCTTTAAGCACAAATATATTATCTACTGAACTATCAAGCACTAACCAGTAACTTGTTCAATAAATATGAAGGTGTTATTCTGAACCTCCAATTCCCTGTTATTATTATTTGTAACTGTAATTGATCAGTCTATGTTGATATATATCCATCTTGAACAAGTTGATTCGATATTGTTATTCAATTATAAGTTTACATTAAAGTCGATTAATAGCTAAATATGAATACCAACATTACTTACTTACTTACTTACTTACGACTGTTACTCCCAATGGAGCATAGGCCGCCGACCAGCATTCTCCAACCCACTCTGTCCTGGGCCTTCTTTCCTAGTTCCATCCAATTCTTGTTCATTTTTCTCATGTCTATCTCCGTTTCCCGGCATAATGTGTTCTCTGGTCTTCCTCTTCTCCTCCTTTGGCCTTGAGGATTCCATGTGAGGGCTTGTCTTATGACACAGTTTGGTGCTTTCCTCAATGTGTGTCCTATCCACTTCCAGCGCTTCTTCCTGATTTCTTCCTCCGCTGGGATCTGGTTTGTTCTCTCCCACAGTACGTTGTTGCTAATAGTGTCCGACCAACGGATCTGAAGTATTTTGCGTAGACAATTGTTAATAAACACCTGTATTTTCTGGATGATGGCTTTCGTAGTTTTCCATGTTTCCGCCCCATACAGTAGAACTGTCTAGACATTTGAAAACCAACATACATCTTAATTCTTAGTTCTTTAACTAATTTCATTGCTGATGAGAATTACCGTGAAAAAAAGACTTTTCTTCACCATAATTGTTGATCTTTCTTTTTCTTCTTCTTCGACTTTCTTGTCATGTGGGAAATGTTCATGGTCATTACATTTGGAAAGAAATTTTCTATTTAATCTTAATTATACAAGTTATTTATATCTTGATGTATATCATTATATCACAGCATGATATTATTCTAATTGTATTGGTTTTTCACTTAGAAACAACCTCATGATTTTAAGTGATCTGTCGTTTTTTCCCACACTTGTTTCTATGAATGAAAATGTTTTTTTTTAAACTATTTACTTCATTATTACTATTATCATTCTCCTGTGAATGTTTTTTTCTTTCTATCCTAGTTGTTGATCCTCCAAATATGACTGATTTAGATAGTCCTGGTCCTGTATTCGGTGCTTCATTAGAATCTCAATTAGAAAGTCCTGATTATCCAGTAAGTTTTTTTTATTAGTTATCATTAGTATTAAGTTTGTGCGTATGGTTGTATATTACCTGGTCGCATAAACTGAAATAGATAGTATATCTGCTCTTGCAACGTTTCATCGAAAGGTCGGACCCAAAAGTTAGTGAGACAGCGGTTGGCGATACAATTTCATAATGATGAACAGTGAATAAAATAGATTCACATTATCAATTGTTTCTTCATTGTCTTGTATCTCATTTAATTCATTGGTTTAAAATATACGTCTCCCAACTCCTTCGGACAGATCCTTTCTATCCACCAGTTTTACTTAGGCGCCGCGGTTCGTTATTTGTGCTTTCATTTTCTTAAAAACATAACTTCTACATAATGACATCTTCGTAAAGTATTGGAGAAGGAGAATTATTTTTAACAGACGAAGTTTACACAAATTCTTTGATAATAATAAATAACATTTTCAATTCTTATTCATATGTCCTCTCCATCGTTTTCGGATTCAATCAAGATTTATGTATACTTACCAGTCAATAATATTTTCACCAAAAATCCATTTATGTGCACCATCAGTCGATGGGAATTTCAATACGAGCAAACAAAAGTCAACAATTCTAGTATTCCAACTTTAATAATAGATATATTGCACTGCTTTTTTAAGTAAAATTTAGTGTTTTTAAAAACATTTGTTCCTTTATATCATAGTAAGTATTATCAGTCAGTCAGTCAGTCAGCTACGACGTAGGACTAGGCACATATATCCACCGGTTCAAGTTGCCACACCTCATTAGCACAACAGGATGAACACCAATTGCATAGAAGTAGTCACTTCAATGATAGTAATGTATAAAAGAAAGATTGTGTATAAAGATATAACAGAGGAAGAAAGAATTAGTTGGTAGAAAGAAACATATGAAGCGATTTTAATCTCACGGTTTAAGGGAAGACAAAGAGTGTATACACCTACACCTACACCATTGTGATCGATTCTGAGCCATGTCACCGAGATTCTCCAACCATTGGTTACGATATTCACGCGGACCCCAACCAAGTAGTCTGCATCTCCTAACATGGCTCAGACTAGAAGTCAGTGACTTCAAGGACTAATGCCACGTATTATCAAGTAATGAAATGCCAAGAAAACGTAATCAACATTCTTTGTTTCTTCATATATTTTTTTAGTGCGTTCCAGTCCTGTTACAAGCTATTGTCATAGCCTTAGAGATACATGGACTTAATTTACCTGGTCTGTATAGAAAACCTGGTCGACATCGTACAATTGCGCACTTTGTCTCTTCAGTAAACCTGGTACGTGTCACCCTTATTATTATTATTTATTATTATTATTATTATTATTATTATTATTATTATTCATTTCTGTATTCTACTTTTAAATTGGATCATTTTTTTCTTGAAGAAATGAATCTGTTATGATTCTGGTAGAGAATGGTTAGTTCTGATTTGCTGAACCAATTTTAATTATAGGAAGCATTCTATATTTCTCTTTTCTGGTAGATTTTACAATATAAGAATGTTGTCTACGCTACTTTGATCAATTAGTCTCTTATTATCATGTATGAAATGAAAGAAAATAACATCTAGGCCAATATTGTTAATCAGAATATGTTGTGACTAACGAAAATTGTCATTTATTCAAATGAATATTATAGAATGCTGAACGTTTGATACTATGTAGTCGAGTTGAGCCGACTTATCAAAAGACTAATTTATTCACTTAATCTCTCAATGAGATCTTGTCAAAGATCATGACCACTATTAGCCTAGTAGAATAAACTAATTTTTTCTTAGAGAAATCTAAAGGTAATTAGATATTACAGACAAGCGGATAATAACAACTCTGTTGGTTGCTCAGTAATATCTATCCTATCAGAATATTTTCTAGCATTAATGTTGTAAAGTTATGTAATACCATTGGTAAATAGTAATTAATATGTATAAAATGAAAGGCTTTTGCATAATAATTTCATATTAGAGTGATTTGAACTGTCACATGAGACAATCGCTAATATCCATAGTGAAATTTATTGGCATAAATTGAACCCACAAATGCACTGGTGTAGTTGATGTTGGAGTTAGTCCACTCTCCTCCCTCTTCGAATATTCTCATATGGTTATGTGTATAAAGCCACCACCAGCGAAGTCCCTCTCATCGCCTTTTCGTGGCTGTGATGTTTGCCTGATGGAGTTGACGAAAAGAGAATATTCCACGGGAACGTAGACAGGGTTGATGTGTACGGAGGATTTACCTAGAGAGAGAGAGAGAGTTAGGGAATTCTGATTCCAGACCAATGATGCACTTGTGCTCCAGGTACCGAAGTTTTATTTTCATCCTCACTTCCATAGCATTTTATAAATTCATAGGGCTGGTAAAGCCTTTCAAAAGAGAGGGAGAGAGATGTGATTCACTCAATTCTCAGTCTTACCATAGGATTTGTGAGCCTACTACTTGCTAGTAGAGTTAATTGATCTTATATTTTTTCTCCTATAGTCATCCATTTCCTAGTTTGGTCAAAGAAACTTCGAAGTATATTTTTTAAAAATGTATACGTTTCTTCCGTTTCACAATTCCCTAAAGATTTGAATTAATTAAACCATTGTTTCGACGATTTAGATGACTTCTAGTTTATCAGACAACATTTTTATAATCTATCCTAATTAATGTTTCCCATTTGGATTGTTCAGTTACAATAATAGTATGTATTATGTAGGTTTTTTCATAACCACTCGTTGATTCCTATTATATTGTGCTCAAAAGTTCAAATCTCGTTCAATCTTGGATGTCTTCTGCTATTTGTAGACTTTATCACAAATAACATTATTTTAAGTTTATGAATAAATTTCTTCTCACTTGGTGCAGCATCAGTGCCTGAAGTCACTAACTTGTAGTCTGAGCCATGTTGGGGTCCGCGTGACTATCGTAACCAATGGTTGGAGACTCTTGGTGACATTGTTCAGAATCGATCACAATGGCGTAGGCGTATACACTCTTTGTCTTCCCTTAAACAGTGAGATTAAAATCGCTTCATATGTTTCTTTCTACGAACTAATTCTTTCTTCCTCTGTTATATCCTTATACACAATCATTCCTTTATATATTACACCATCGTGTTAACTGCTTCTATGAATTCATCTTGCTGTGCTAATGAGGTATGGCAACTTGGACCGACGGATATGTGTGCCTAGTCCTACGTTGTAACTGATTGACTGTGTATTTGTATGCAATTTTTAGTTTAAAAGACATTCTTATATGAAATACACTTTTTTAAATTAACTATTCTCTTCTTCAATCGATTATTCTTTCTGTTCGAATTATAAAACTTATAAAGAGTCTGATTCGTATACTAAAGTTATTTGATGATCAAATGCTTGTCTATAATTTAATAGAAATAACACCAATAAGGCTCTGTTTATTTATTTTCAAAACATCCTGCTTTATTAACAATGAATTCAATCTCTTTTATGTATATAATAACCTACCACTAGTAACCTTTTTGTTTTGCTAGTTGTTCATATATATTACTTCATTATACATGTCTGTTGTTACATCAGAAAATTTCCATTTTTTCATCTTTTCAATAAAGCATCCTGAAGATATTGACTTGATGTTTAGTTTGGATGCTTGGCGTGAACCTAATGCATTATGCGGTTTATTTAAACATTTTCTTCGACGATTACCTGTTGGATTATTTTCTTTATGTGAGTGTGGTTATTTAAATGTGTTTTCTTTTTGAATTTTTTTTACAAATGTTCCTACCGGACAGCTTAAATGACCGAGGGTTGGTAAAGCCACTTTATTATAGTCATACCCAAAGAAGTTCTCACTATCTCCATGTATGGATAGTATTTTTACGAAAAGTGAACGTGTGGTTGTTTTATTGGTGTTGTAGATACGAGGCGTTCACATATGCGAGTTAGAAAACTCTGCTTCTAAACTAATAATGTACATGCACTCCAGAATCCTGAGGGGTTGAATGGCGTATGACCCTATTTTCGACTTTTAGTTACCAAAGCACTATCTCTTTACGTTGTTATACTCTTGTAGACCTTTAGGTTAAAGGGTCAGGAGGAGTGGCTATACCTAAGAAAGTCACTTGGCACTATTTGAGTTACTGGGAGGTATTCCAGTTCTCACATAAATATAATTATTTAGTGTGGCGTATATTACGTTTTGGTACCCAATTACCTCAGATTTTATGTGAATTAAATAAATGAAAATCTAAAGCGTGTTAAGCAAATGAAATTTGCTAGAGTCGTTACGTATCAACCAGTGTTTAATGCAATCCATCCTTTATGCTTAGTGTATATAACGTTGAGAGTTTACGAGTCACGAATGCATGAAATAAAACAACTAATAATAAATTAAATATATTTGAATCGAATTAATGATTTAGAAACTGGGAAGGAAGAGTATGATGAACACATATTGTACTTGAAGAGAATGATTCTAGTAGAGTTTTTGTTCTCTCTGAAGTTGGGCAATCTAATCATGAAAACTCTATTAATTTTCTAAATGAAATCACCAGCTCCCTCCTTTCTGAAGTTTCTACAAATGATATTTACATAGATCATGAAAGTTTCACAGTTAAGCCTTCCATCCAAGATCACCACACAACTCTAACAGAAGAATAAATTGGTTTCACTTTAATCAATAATTGAGTGAACTAATTTATGTCTTAGCATTTTTAATTTCTAAAATTGTTTCATTTGTCTAATTATTGGTAACTTAGTAATATTGTAATGAATGAAAACTTTGTGAGGAAAACCAATTTATTTTATATAATGCAAAATTATACTGTATTTGTAAAGTATGGAAGCAATACATTAAACACACTATTTATCCATCTTCCTTGAGTTAACCTTTTTAGTGTCTAAAATTCTTTCAATCCTGTTGTTTTTTGCGATTACTCTTTGCTTTATTTCTTGTTCTCTTCAACAGTCCCATTTCCTATTCCTGTTAATACATACTACTTATATCTGTCTGTATAAGTAGCACACACCACAATACAAAAAATTAACTTTAATTACTTGATTATAATAGCTAACTTTAATTGGAATACTTGTTTGATAAATTCAGACTGTCTTATTTAGTTAGGCAAGGTAATTTCTGTCAGTGGTTAAATATGTTGTATGAAAATATAATGATTAGAACTAGTTCAGATAGCACATATCCATTCATGCTTCATCTTCTAACTTGTGAGTTTCTACATTATTTCATACATATTAATCCTCTTATTTCACTCTTTTCTTTTTAAAACTACGTTCTGTATGTTCAGTTTTCACTACTATCATTAGTACTACTAAATTATTTCAAATTCTTTGCTAATTTGACCTCATTGTTCTACTATGGTTAAACCTAATTAAACTGATTCATAGGTGTACCAAGTCTTACGATGATTATGAAAGAATGAATTAATAGAACATCAGAGTGAGTATCATAAAGTCCTCAAACATTTATTATTATTTTTTAGTCTGGATACTGGGTACAATTTCATGGATCATTTGATCTTTCACCTACTTTAACCTTGGCATAAATTGTTGTAGTTTGCAATGTGATATTAGTTTATTAAGTTGAATTATATATAGTCTGAGAAGAGAATTTCTCGGTAGTTAGACTCAGATTATACAGTTATTGTAAATCATGAAGCATTGAACAGCTGTTTACTCCTAATATAGGGCTTGTCAATAATATACATACAGGATTCTACCATGAATCTTCCGTTTCACATGAGTATCCTTAATTTCTTGGTAACTGAGCTAGTATTTGAATTCCCCTTTATTTCATCAACAGTTATTTTGAGGTATATCTTCTTGTAGTCGATTAATTATCGTAACTATTTATACAGGATAATATTCCAATGTACTGTTATTGATTAACATATTGTATTTTATTGAAATGAACTATTATGCTTGTATACACTTTTCAGATAACAATAAACAGATTTACATGTTTTTTGTTGTTGTTTATGATTAGTTTTTAACTGTCATACAACTTCTTAAATCCTTATGATCTTTATCAACAACCAATTGTTATCACATGGTTCATTATGTTGTTATGATGTGTAATTTCTATAACAGAAACAAACAAGATCATTTATAGCACTAAAATGTCAATGTGCTATTTTTTTTGTTTTCGTTGTTGTTGTTGTTGAAAAACTTCATTCCGTTTACTGGAAACTTCTAACTTTCTTTTTCTTGGCAACATTAAAGTAATTCGTTTCCTTTTTTTCTCAAAGTCAAACAGAGTTGGAAAAACAACAAGAATCTAGATTGATAGATGTATTAATAAAATATATATATATTAAGCATAAATCAATATAATTTGAGAACAGAGAGTGAGTTAGTACAATGAAAAAGCATATGATAACTTTTAAACTCAAGATCTATGAGGAATACAATCATTGAATGTATCATTGCCTTTAAAACTAATTCCTGTTTATTTATTTGAACACGACGGGGCACCAAATACATATAAAGCTACACAATGACAATGAGGCCAGTAGTAGATATCATTGATTTGTGTAAGGGCTGTGATACTGTTTGAGTGCCCAAATCGAAGCAGGTGATTTTCTTAGGTGGCTGCACCCCAATCATTCGATCTAATAGTCTAATCCACATGACTGTGAAACTACGTTAGGAGAAGCAGTCCCATAGAAGCCGGTCATCAACAATTAGTTCAAACACCATTCGTTCCCTCAGGATCATAGAGCCCATGTACACTATTGGCTTGGTTTTGGCGTTTACTAACTCCCCTGTATGGATCCTCCGTCATACCTATCAACTCGGTTTAGGCCCCGGCCAGATATTCGATCTTTGTCCTCTCAATTTCCTAAACAACACTCGTGGTGTGAGAAGTCAGTGAGTAGGACTTCCTTGACAGTATCTGTATACACGTGTTCATGTGGAAGCATTTGTAGCTGGAGAGCTGACTCTCCTCAACCTCAGCTGTACCAAGGCATTTGTGGACAAGACTGATTCTGACTCATATTACTCGACAGTTTTCCAAATTTGTTTTTGTTTGGGATCATGAACCGGTTGGTGTTAGACCACCATGAAAAACCCGGAAGCACTGGACATCAGCTTCGTCCCATCGTGGGAGTCCTCGGCCGTGCGCATCCACGATCTCACCCGCGGGGTTCCAATCCAGAGCCTTCGGTCTCGCGCACGACCACTGACTCAGTATCCAATGGTTTCCGGTGGAGACTGGTACCTACCTTAGTACAATGGAAGATGGTCGTGCAATTTCGTGGTTGAGGTTAGACACTAACACTGTTAGATGCCAGCTCAGTAGTCTAGAGGCTAAGCGTTCGCGTGCGAGACCGAAGGACCTGGATCGGAACCCCGCGAGCGAGATCGTGGATGCGCACTGCTGAGGAGTCCCACAATAACATGGAACGGCCGTTTATTGCTTCCAGGTTTTACATGGTGGTCTAGCTTCAATCGACTCATGATCTCAACTATTAAAATTATCTGATTATAGATCCATTTTTTACAGTCAAACTAACATCACGATAGCGCCAAAATGGTAGAAATTGTCATGAGCCACTCTGGCTTTCACTATACATGAGTTGGCCTCATCTTTCATGCCATCACCGGCACTTACACAGATACCTAGATAAACGAATTTCTCGACTATATCTGTCTACTCACTGCCCGCAGTATGTGCATGTTCAGGTTCCTATCAGTCTTGTAAAAGTACTTTTCACTTAGAAGATGCAAGGCACATAACATACTTACAGATACTGAGTCGTGTTTGTTGATACAGTTTATTGAGTTTAGATCGTTATGATCATTAAGTGATTGAAGAATTTGTGTGTAATGTTTCAAAATCAATTCAAATGGTAGATACATTCACTTTTTTTTTTAAAAAAAATACCTTCCTCTAAATCTTCATTCTCATTATCCCTTCAAGCATATTATTTCATTCCATCTTCTCAAACTATATTTTTAATATTCAACATTTCTCATTAATGATTATTTTAATCAATTAACATTTGGATACCAATCTTTGCATTGATTATCACTAAGTGATTTACTTCATAACCATTTTATTAATTATCAAATAAAACATGTTTTAACATGGTTATATTACAATATTATTGAATTCAATTACTAATTCAAATGACATGTATTATGTCATACTTTAAGATAACAATGCGGGTTAATCTGGTTTTCTTTAATCTGATTCGTATCATTTTAGCTAATTCAATAATAATAATAATAATAATAATAATAATAATAATAATAATAATAATAATAATAATAATAATAATAGTAATAATAATAATCTTGTATCCATGTGTACATGTATAATGTGTCTATTTACCGAGTTCTCTAACGTATATTGTATATTACTACTACTACTATTACTACTATTATATTATTGTTTGAAGAAAATAACCATATATAGTTATTTGTTATGTACACATACATTCTACATTCTTATGTTACTTAGTTAGTTAGTATATAATTAAGAAAAACAAATGAGCATGAAATCGAAAGGCTAGATGACTTCCAGAATTGATTAGTAAATTTATATTGATTGTTCTCTTCATTTAAGTTGGTTTACATTAATGTATAGTTTCATGAGATCATGTGAATTAAATAAGTAATTTCATTAATCACTTCCATTAGTTTAAAAACTATCATTCGATATGTTTGATTAGTGTTACTACAAAATTTTGACGTGTATATGTATATGTTTAAACTTTCTTGATTTCCTCTCGACTTATACCGCCCCCAAATGCCCTGGTATGGCCAAGAGTGGGGAGAGTCCTCCCTCCCTCTCGAAATGCATCCAATGATGTTAATGTCTAACTTCAACCAATCCACGAAGTTGCGCCACCGTACACCATTGTCTTCAGTGAGTTCCTATCTCACAACAAACCTGGTCGAACTCCACTATTAACGACTTCTCACTAGAACTCCAGGAGTGTCTCCCGCAGTTAGTCACTAGTGAGCAGGTGATTATTATTATTATAAATTACTAAGTTATTACTCAATCGTATCTCCTCAACACAAATTCACCAGAATTTGTCTATTATTTTACAATTTAATTATAGAATATTAGCAAAGCACTTTGTTTCATTTTATTGTGATTACAAACTAGTAGTCATGTATTTTTACAATCATTTTCGAATAATCTTTTGACTTTGATCATCTTCTGGGGAAGTACTGACTTCACGAATCGTTTAACCTTGTTAACAGTAGAAAGTTTATGTATAAATTGGATTGGTTGCAAAATCTATTGAAATGTGCTTAGATCTTAGGGGTAGCTTGAATGACCCTGACGGGTTCAAGATTCCAATCGACCATCCAAAAAGTAAAAAACATATATATGAATGATTTATGATTAATATTTATTGTCACAATAAAGATTACAGTTTAGAATTAGGTTTTGGTGTTAGAGAAAGAGTTGAGATTAGAATGTTAAATGTGCGGTTATAGTTTGGATTATAATATGAAATTTACAGTTGTGATTCATTTTGGTTTATAATGAGGATTGAGTTTCACAGTTAGTCCATTAAGTCCTTACTCTAAACCTAACTTTTGGACTCCACTTCCTAAATTGTAATCCCTACTTTCATTATATAATTATGTTTTCGTCAATAAAACTAATCACCTATATATTACATAGAGAACATTTTGTTTTAGTGTTTGTACCGCAACTTTGAGCTGTCTTATCCCTTTCGTGATTTACTCAGCTTTACCGAATTTGGGATTTATTGTTGAGTGATTTTGACTTATAGATGAATTTGTACTTGCGTGTACATTTTTGGAAGATGATTCATTTAATCTGAATTAAAACCTAATTTAATTGTGCTTTTCTTCTGTCAACTATTCTTTCTTCCAGCCTCTTGGGAGCCACTTTTCTGTCTTGTTCCAGAGATTGGGAATTCTTCCGATATGAAACAATTAGCCTATCTATTACTTTCTATTCGTGTTCAATTGAAAAAAATGGCATTTGATGTAAGTTCTATGTAGTTTGTCATGAATTAGCTTTGTGTTATCCGATCGTTAACATTTAATGAACAATACACTTATTGTGCCTGCATATCGTTTACCTTCATAAAATACTTACTGTTTTTCTCTTAAGTAATTATTGAGAAACATAAAGAAACTCCACCATCGTGGTTCATATATCTTCATTCTTCTTCTTCTTCTTCCTCTTCTTCTTCTTCTTCTTCTTCTTCTTCTTCTTCTTCTTCTTCTTCTTCCTCTTCCTCTTCTTCTTCCTCTTCTTCCTCTTCTTCTTCTTCTTCTTCTTCTTCCTCCTCCTCTTCCTCTTCTTCTTCCTCCTCTTCTTCTTCTTCTTCTTCTTCTTCTTCTTCCTCTTCCTCTTCTTCTTCTTCTTCTTCTTCTTCTTCTTCTTCTTCTCTGTCGTTTAAAGGGATGCGGGGGGTGTTCATCATATAATTCATAAATAATATGAGTGGCTATGGAAAGCGATATTATAAAGTCAAGAATAGTTGTAAACATTTACGGATAACTATGACTATGTTAGTGATCACTGTTTTGAAGATATTATACTATTGTGACTTTTGACCTGTTTGCTATCACGTGATAAGATCGCCAATTATATGAACTTGGCAGTGTGCCAAACCAGTGACGCGTTAACTGGTACGAGCAACCTCGAGTCAACTCTAAGTTCTTATTGCTCCTTCTCGTCTAGCCCTACCTAATTGAGTCTAGAACACAATCTCAGCTTCCACTGTATGAATTGTGTATTTCGGAGATACTTGGTTTATGCATAAGCAACTAGACTACATCATACCATAAAATAGAAAATAGCAATGATACAAGATCAAACCAAAAGTAGCTGTGATTATAAGAGTCCGTAATTAAAAAATGGGAATAACTCATGTGTGATAAATCGTATAATAATAGTCATTCATTTATTCTTCATTAGGGTATAGCATACATTTAGTTTTTTTTAATATTCACAAGTTAAGTCCACATGGTAGGGGAATTTCGTTGCTGCTTCGCACATTTTGTGATGAGAATATTTTATTGTAATCGAATATATAGTAGTGTTCAAAAAAGAAATCATCATGGTTTGTACTTTTTCTATGCATTTTCTTTTAGGCTTTTGGTATTCCAACTATGAACACAATGCCTGTAGATGTACAAAATAATCCTTCCTCTCCGACTAATGGCTCTAATGAATATCAATTTAGCGGAGTGAATTCCATCAGTGACCATCTATTCAAACCATCTATATCTCCACCTATATCTCCTCAGACTACTGTCGTCCCATCGAATACATCCCACTTACAACTCAAAGAGGATTTCAGTTTAATGAAAATGAGTAATTTTAACGAAAAGGAGTTCAACATCTCTAAACAATCATTTCGTGTTTGGCGTTGGGCTACATTATGCTTTATCATGAATCATATAACAAGAGTTGTAGCACATGAACATCATAATGCAGTGACATATCAATGTATAGCTATATGTTTCGGTCCTGTTTTCTTTGGAAACTCATCAAAACTTCCAAAATTAAATGAGGTGTGTATTTACTACTGAACTTTCTTTTTAAGTAGCTATACAAATGTTAACGATTGGAAATTTTTCTAGGCACCATAAACCATGAAGCTTATCATTCATTGTATAGATTGGAAAATTCAATGACCATACAATTTTTTTCAGTGTTAATTACACAAACTACACATTTCATTCACCTTAGCCATGGTAGTTGAAGTGGAATTCAACAGTAATTGATAACCTGACATTTACCGTTTGACTTAATCACTACACTGAATAATGACTGAGTGAGATGTGATTTATTTCATGTATATTTAGTCGTTTATTGCTAATCAAATTACAGTATTTCTTCTAGTCTAAATGAATTGACATCATATATAGTACGTCAAGTTGTTGTGTTGTTGAAGGTGGTAGTTCAGTAGCAAAATGTTGTTTTACCCATATTTCTCGCCAGTTTTCTGTCCATTTAGGTAGTTTGTAGCTAAGTTGTATTATTTTTGTTCAAAATAGACTTATAAAGTTTTGTTCACCTATTGTATAATACGTTTTTAAACATGTAAAAAGATGTTATCACTAAGTTGTACCGTATTTTGATACGGTACAATTTTCATTTTCATTCATCGGTCTAATAAGTTATGGACTAAGGATCTAAACTATATGGGTAAATGCAAATTACCCGTTTTATTGTTTGTGCAATAACCGCAATAAGTGGTTGGAGATATATAGGTGGTCACAACACCCAGATTTATTCTCTCTTTATCACTTAGTCAAACGCAATATAGAGCTTGGTACATGAGTAATACAGTTCAAGTTGTCATACTCTATTAATACAGCGAAATGAAACTGTTAGGATAAATCCTAGAGTAGTAAAAGTCGTAACAGAACATGTTAGACATCTAAGATACAACTTCAGAAAATTTAATTATGAGAAATAAAAATAGAAACAGTTATGAGGAATTTAGAAACTTAGGATCTAGAAAAGAAACAAAGAGTTAATACAACTGCTACACTATGGTCGATTCTGATCCTTATCATCACAAGTCTCTAACCATTGATTACAGTGATCACCTGACCCCAACCGGATAGTCTACACCTACCTTCATAACTCACTTCACTTGTCGATGTTTTTGTATGTTGGCTTTCTTCCAACCAACTACTTCAATATCAATCGTCACTTTTGCTCGAGGTAGTCATACTACAAATCTCATTTTCCAGTATTCCCTTTCATATACATTTTCATTGTTGTTTCGGACCATATCCTCAATATTTAAGCTTTCTTATTATCACTACTACTGTGGTGGATGATACTTATATCGACAGACAGTGCGCTGCAGACTCAGCATTTTTACAGGGAGTGCGATACAGACCGCGATAAAGAAGAAGGTGGCACCGCGAGCAGGACAACCACAAGAGAGACAGCTTAAATTGGGGACGAGTGTGCTGCGTGCTACTTATGTCAACAGACATAAGTAGTATGTAACACCAATTGGAAGTGGAAAACCTGGCAGCACAAGGCTTAGGAGATCGAGTTGAAGAGAATGGAAGGGAAAATATAAAGGAATTATGAACTGGAAGAATTATACAGAATGTACAGGACAAATGATGGAAATTTACAAATGAAGTGCTCAGCGTATGGTTCTCATATCTTACCAAGATATTCTGTAATTTTGTATTTAAGAAAAAACATTGGTTGTCCCTACTTGAGTGTTCGTTTACAACACTACTACTTCCATTATTTAAACACTTTTACTATCCATCTTGTTGATTTTATGTCATCATCTTGATGTATTTTGACAACTTTGAAGCCATTACATGGCTCTACATTAATGTTAGCCGACCCATACATTTTCGATCGGTTGGTTAGTCTATTTGAATATAGTAATGATCACCATTATCCTATTTTTAACTTGTTATAGGTTCTTGAACATTTATTTCGACATTGGAAATGGCTTATTGACAGTTTACCAATGATTACAAAGAATCCTATCACAAATATCGATTTCAGTACAATCAATGAACCAACTTTAATGGATGCTATTACTTATTTAACTACTACTAATACTACTGCTACTGACAAGTCTAAACAACAAAAGAAACCAATTCTTCAAGATCATAATAATAATCATATTCAAAGATTAGATTTAACACATGAGCCAATAAATAATGATACATTATTGTCTTCATCTTCTATTTTTTCTTCGGCACGACGTAAATCTACCGATGTTACTTTTAGTCAACAATCTTCTATATCATCATCTGAACAAGAACAACAACTCACTGTTGATTATGACTTGATTGTTAAAAAGTTTGATAATGAAGATGAATTGAATAAAGGTGAGTAACTGTTGTGTATTCATGTCTATCTGTGTATATTTATTTATTATTTATATAAACACATAAACACTGATACAAGGTCAGTCCGCAGGTACTCCAGAATGAGCGACAATCTTCTACCAACCCTATACAACGATGACTGATGGCAATATGTTCTATTTGAGTCCGTCGTTGGTTTGGTGTAGGAGGTCGCCATGTTAGACGATGTCTCTCCTTATGCTTAGAATTTATGTTTGCTAAAAATAAACGATTGTCTGAGCACAATTGCAGCAGACGATCAACATTATCTGTTCGCCGTGCCGGAATACTAAAATACCCACCTAAATGCCTTTCTGTTTGGTTTAAACTACCTATCAGGGCATTAAAGTCACCTGCTACGAGTACTATGTCTGAACGTTTAGCTTTCTGAAGAAGATCAGAGAGCTTTTTGTAAAATTCATCTGAGCTGCAGTCAGTGGGAGCGTAGGTAGAAACGACGAAAAGGCAACGACGTGTGTCCCTATCCTTCCGAGTTCTTACGTAGCCGTTTAGACGTACAGCACATAAACAACTGTTGACGGGGATCCACTCTAACAGTGCTTGTTCCGCCCTCATGCTTAGTGCTATACCTACACCTGCCAGTCCACGAGAACTGGCCATCGGGTCACCAGATACATGGAAGGTGTATCTCGTTGGCTCTCCGTTTTTCCGAGGCGAGGTAAATGAATGACCACACTAAGATCTTGTATTCGTGTTTCGGAGACACAGCATACATCAATGGTACGAGATTCTAGGGTTTTAGCCACGGAAGCCTGCTGACTGATTTAACATAGGTTGCGTTCGTTGAAGGCTCCAATGTGTAGTTTGAAGCGAGGTTTCAGTAGACGTGGGACAGTGTTTTGCGCACCAGAATCGTTGGACATGGTGACACTACTTGAGGAAGGCGAAAGAGGAAGTTTAGAGTTGAAAGTCGATGTAGGAGGAATAATAGGAATTGAAGGGGGAGGTTGATTGTGAATACAGTGGTCTTGAGTGTTGTTAGAAATATGTGGGATGTTATCACTTCCTGGTTGCCTACACCGTGGAAGGGTTCTTCTGGAAGTACCTGAAAAGGAAACTGGATTAGAGGTGGTCTTAGTGACCTGGGAGCGTGACCGCAGTGCCCAAGGGACAACTGCTTGACAAGATAGTAAATCTTCATCGGTTGAAAAGGCTAAGATAAGTATTGTGTGTATATTCAAGCACTCCCTACATTGATGTGCGATGTTCGCTGGTGTAGGAGTATGTTGGAAGAAAGTTACTAAATTCATTTACCACTGAGTGAAAATGTGTTGGTAGTTTCAGCTTACCTTGCTGAGGGTCTTAGGGGATCATCGTAACCAATGTTTGGAGAAGTTTGGCAAGGTGGTTTAGGATCGATCATGATGATGCAGATGTAATCACTCTTTTTCTTATGTTTCAAACCTATCTCACACTTTTTTACTTGTTAAATCCGCATTTTATCGAACCATATCACCAGTACCGATTCTTTTCTACTGTCACTAAGACTTTTATTACTCTGTCATGTCTCTCTGCTGAAGTGTTGTGACAGCTTCATATATATGCATATAGGTTTTTGTATCACTGAATAATGATTTCTTCTATGTGTTATTACAGAATGTCATGCTTTGGATATACGTATGTTTCTTTAGTAAACTTATACACTGTACTTTACATGACTCTATGATTTATCGAGCATGTTTCACCGTATTGTGTTTCCCTTTTTTCTCTCTCTTTTGTTAACTAAACAGAAGTTATTGAACAAGTTCGCTCCTTGTGGTTAAAAGCTTTGGATAAGATGAATAATCAATCACATAGGTACTTACAAATGAAAGAAAAATCCTCTAAGTAAGTTAACTAATTTGCTAAACATTTACAATTAAGAAGAGATATTTGCATATATATGATTGTATTTGATCGCAAAAATTATGCGACTAGTTTATTTTCTAGTTAGTTGTTGAGGATGCTAGACCCCTAGAAATATCTTATTTTGGAAATTTGAACTTTTCATGTTCGCAACAAAAACGCCCACTTTTACCTTCAGTTTGTATTTCCCACTTGGAAGGACCTTAAATGTCATTAATTCGTTTCCTCTTTTCATACTCTATTTTTGACGTTTTTTGTGCTGTATATATATCCATAAGTTGTATGCTTGTTAGTTCGTGCTTCTAATTGGTTGTGGAACATAGATTTCCCTCTGTTGAATCTGGTGTTCCCCCCTCTAGTTGTCAGGACTGAGGCGCAATCGAATCGTCTACCTTATCCCGTTGTTGTATTGTTTACTTTCGTTCCATTCTCTGGTTTTTGGGTGATATCTTAATCTCTTCAAACGTAGCTATAGTTCAGATTAATCCCTTTAGCTAATATCTGCATTAATTATTTGGATTTTTTCAGTATGCATTTTTTTTATCTTCTGTATATAGTATGCTCTTAAATCTATTTGATAAGTTGTTCAAAATAGATTTCTTAATTTTCAATGTAAACAGACAATCCACTTTCCAATTTTTATATGTATAAACATAATCAGTGTAATGATAATTCATTCGAGAAGTCTACATTACCCTACTGATTCAGATTAATTCATCTCTCTGAGTATTAACAGTAAAAAAAGTCTTTATCCTTACGATTATTAGCAGTAGGAATAGTAATAATACATTGTAAATACTGTAATAGCATGTTGGTTTGTTAGAGGTAGATAGTTGGAAACTCTGTTTGACCTCGGTCTCGTACCGAGGTTTACTGTGCAATCTTGAAGAGACTGATACTATCCTAGGGATTAGAACTTATGTTCAGCCTGAGATGTTATCATCACTGAATCATTCAGGTCACGAATAACTTCCTGTAGAAGTGAGATGGTTACAACTATTCGATGAATAACCAATATCATCTTGATTTAGTTCAACATCAGACATCTTTATTCATTTCTTGTAGACAGAATTCTTATACTACACACTGGTATGTAACAGGTTTCGAATCACTTAGTTGTTAATTGACTTAATTACTGAATATTTCTTTCTATTTTTACTTGGTAAACTATTTCAGTGATAACGCATATACTGACCAATGATCAATATATATGTGTATAAGTGACATATACATTTATTAAATACCATCAATGTACGTACTATAATATTTTGTTTAAATTTATTAATTATTTTCTAGTTTAATCAAAACCGCTGATTTTGAAATTGAAAAGTTTTGAGCGCACATTGTGATTGTGTTACTGATTGATTGCACAATTAACAGGAATGATTATTTTGAAGAGTTTCAGCTTTGTTTAATGCTGATTGCATTGTGACAAGTTTTTTCCACTGTCAAAGTTTACCAGCTATACTAATATTTTATTCTGTAAAACATTCACAGTTACTAATTTCTTAAAAAGAAAATCGTATGACTAGTATTTGATTATTTCTATTGATTTTATTTATTTGGACACATAAACATCGAATAGATATGCGCTACGCAAGTCAATTGATTTGTGTGTGGGTTGTGATACTGACCGGGTGCCTAAACCGAAACAGGTGGTTTTCTTAGACCTAAAAGTCTAATCCACGAGGAAATAGACCAACGTCAGGAGATGCACTTTCATGGTATCCAGTGACTAACAATAGGTTCAAACATCATTCGTCCCTTCAAGATATTGGATCCCATGTATACCATTGGTTTGGAATGAGGGTTTTCCAACTCACCTAGTTGAACTCTCCGTATCCACCAACCCGGTTACATCCCCGGACATTCGCTTTTAGTCCTTTCAAGCTCATAAACAACACCCGTGGTTTGAGAAGGTATTGAGTAAGAATTCTCTGACAGTGGTTGTATACGCGTGTTCATGTGAGAGCATTTGGAGAGGGAGAGCGGACCCTTCCCACTCTCGGCCGTACCAGGGCATTTGGGGGCAAGCAGTGTGAGGGATTAGAATAATGATTTACAGTTGATGGTTAATGTTAGAAATTATATTTAGGGTTTCCATCACGAACTGACATCAGCTATAATTTCAAAACTCTATTTATCTAAATGGATGAATGAATTTAGCGCCCAAATCCACGACCTATTATCTTATATCTGATTGGTTCGTCTATAAATTATAATCTCGTCGAAATCGCTATACTATTGTGTGTTTTTCTTCTCATTTGTATTGCACAGATTTATTTACATTGAACATTCTTATACACATAATGCCCTAATCATTTGATTGGTTAAAAATTTTTTGGTAAAGAATCATTTTGAAATGTAAGAACAAATGTCTTATTTATATCTATCTATTAGATTAATTGTTTATTTGATCATGTTTTCTTTTCCTTTTTTCTTAGAACAAATTATTTCAGTCCTAAGAAAACAACAAATCATTCTAATAATAATAATAATACTACTACTGTTACACTCCATCGTACAGCATCAGCAATTCCAAAAAAATCAACTGAACGTAATAGACAAAAAGGTGTTAGACGATTAACTGTTGGTGTTGCCAATTCATTGCCTCATTCATCATCATCAACTTTAGATTATTATTGCATTTCACCACCATCATCATCATTATCATCACAACTTTTACATACAAAAAATAAAGAGGACACATTATTAACACAATTGAATAATGTTAAAACTATTTCTAACTTATCATCACCACCACCACCATCATCATCGTCATTATCAACTTCCCCTCCTTCTACTACACGGTGTGATTTAATGATTGTCCGACGACCTGTCATTCCTGTGACAACTTCTCATTCAACTACAACTATTTCATAGGAAGAAATTAGTAAATGGTGTTATCCTCCACGAAAATTGATTGACTTCCTTGCAATCCCTATTTGTTACTGTGTGTGTGTGTGCTTTGTCATCCTGTCTTTTCGTTCTGCTTTTTTCCCTGAATGTTTATTCAAGAATCACATTCAGTTTGATTTTGTATTTTTTTTGGAATACGTTTAAGCCAAATATTATTATTATTATTATCAGTTAACCCCCCTCCTATAAATCGTTCTACATACACTTCTCTTCTTCCCCCATCCATATAATTTGTAAGCTGTTCAAATACAAGTAAGAGGGAATGGAAGAAGAACAATACCCGGTTGTGTGTTTATGACGATATACATCTTGATACCTTTTTCTGTGTATAAAGTTTTTATTCATTCGAATTTTATCCAATTCCATTATTTTGTGTATTCAACATTCATTTGTATGTTTACTAATACACAATTGTATTATTGTTGCTTTGAGTAAAATCAATTTTATCTCTCTCTCTCTCCCTCTCTATTATTATTATTATTGTTGTTGTTGGGGGGGGGGGCTAAGATTATCTTCACAATGATTTATTATTATTCAACTAATAAAGTACGGATGAGTTTTCTTTTTTCATCCGGCTTCATCCATAAATTGACATTTTAGATCATTCATATCATTTTAGAAAAACAAGATAAAACTACACTGATTAATCAAAAAAAAAGTTGTTTTTCTTTGATAATTTTTTTTCTTTCATTTTCATGCAATACGCACAAATATGTAATTAATTCAAGAAATTTCTCCTGTGAACTTCCATTCAGATTGACTTGGTTCCCTGCCTCAATGAACGATTGTTACTGTTGTTGTTCTCGTTCTTCTTCTTCTTGTTGTTTTTGTTCTTGTTGTCTACCTCGAATTATTTTCAATTCTCCTATTATTACTATTATCAGTTTGTAAAAATGAAAACATAAACTTATCCATGGGTAAAAATCTTTTTAAAAAAAAGTTTCTCTTCAGTATTCGTATGTTTATTTGTATGTATGAAGAGATTCTTGTGCTGAAAACTGACAGTATGATAAAAAGTGCATGCCATTGTACTTGATTCTCTGAGTCATATTTCCAATCGCTGATCGTGCAGATCTTATTAAAAGCAAAGATGGATAGTCGCTAGCAATGGAATCCTATTTGGGACTAGTCAGCTGGATGTATCTGCATCTCAAGGTTGATGTTCACTCCGGGACTCGAACCCAGTACCGTTCGCTTCAAACACTATCGCGTCACCAACTTAGCTACTGAGTCCTGAATTCCACTACTAACCACTATCCGTCTTTGCTTATAATGCTTGTGAATTAAGGCAATATCGAGGCAATACACACAGTATGCATATATGGCAATAAGAGATTGCTCAATTGCAGTCCTGAATATCAATGGATCCCGACCAGATATCATGAACCTACCAGAATAGTTAACGACCCAATGAACCAATTTCGTGTGTTTCTTTGTCGATCTTTAGTTTTCTCCTAGACCTTGTATATACTTATTTATTTAAACAAAAATATCAGTACGAAGAAGTAACAAACATATATTTACACCACAATTGCGGAAATGTGACTGTAAAGGGATAACTGAACGTGAATATGATAAAATGAATTGAAATTAATGACTGAGAATAAAAAAAAGAATGGTGAGGTAGTTTAGTCAGGGAAAATACAACTAGAGAGGATTCTTGAAGTTAAAGAAGTTCCTCTCACTTGTATGAAAAAAGTAAAAGCATGTTATAGCAGGATCGTCACTGACTACTATTTTGAGCCATTACTGATAACGTCTCTAGACACTGTGTTGCACCGTCTCTAGTACTCCAACCAGGGAGTTGTGAAAGACTAATGTGTATTATCAAATCTCCACAACAGTAACAAGGTGTTGCGAATGGATGTCAAGGCCAACGATGATCGAACACAGAAAGTCGCTTAACATCGTCAAATAGGAGAGGATAGGTTTCATAAGCACAGAGCGGGACTGTCCTGACTGATGGATTATGGATCCAACCTTTTACAACCAGGTGGCTCAGCATATGCCACTATGATTTCCATCATACGTGAGTCGATCCCATCAATCACGTCATCACCAGCACTTACGCAACTACCCAAATACATGGGCTCTCTACTACTTCTATCCGCTCACTACCAAGAGGGAGTACAAGTTCCTACCAGTCTTGTAAAAGTACTTTAACCTAAAAGGGGCACACCCTTTTTCGACAGATAATTCCAGTAAACAGTCCTGTTCAATAAATTGAAACCAGTTCTGACATCAAGAAACAATGATTGCTACATTGCACATAAGTATGGCAGTGTTCTGACATTTGGTGGAGGGTGGTGATACTGTAAATACATCCTCGAAAACCTGCCTGCTCCTCTCGAGTCGATCTTCCCCGGGTTTTTGAACAATCTGCGAAGTACAACGCAACCTATTAATTTGTTTGTAAAAAGAATTAAACTTATCCCATATTAGTTGTTACATAGGTGACATAAACCCTTTTAAAAGATAGTAATGGCCATCACCTCATCTTAGTATTTTGGGACATTCTGTAATTGGTAAACATTTGCAAACATCTCAGTTCCGTTATCCCTAAAAAGGTTATTTGCTAGGTCATCACGGCCTAGGAATTTATGTAGTCCTAGGAGTTCGGGTTCCTTGTGCCAAATCCAAAGCAGGTGGTTTTCTTAGTAAGCCACTCTCCAAGCCTTTGGTCTATCCCAACAATCCAGAATAGATTCATACGTTATATGTCACCTCAGGTAGGTCCTCCGTACCCTGATTTAGGTGTTAACTTTTCATCTCAGTTGTCTAAACAACACTCCTGCCATGAATAAAAATTGTTAGACTTTTCTGGCAGTGGCTGTGTGCACGTAGCTGTACAATAGAATTTTAGTGACAGAGCGGACTTTACTCACCTTCGTTCTTAACCAGCCCACTTCTGCACCAGCAAACATATCTTGTTTAGGCCGATGGTATGTATTTGTAGCACAACTCTTAACCACCTCTATCGATAAAAATTTGTGATCTTATCAGCCAATTAACCATTTGTGTCTATCAAGAAAAAAAACTATCTACGAGACTGTGTTATAAATTCGTGTTTGATTAACAACTGTTATGCAGTCCATGAATATCTGGTAACATACTTTTAACTTTTAAGTATTATCTATGCGTTCACCCAGTATGTTACCATACCATGTACACTTATTTTGTCGTTTGTTAATCTACTATCAGTATAATTCATCATATTGTTGAATCTGGATTCACCCCAAAACAAGAAATTAATAAGATAATATGTCTAGGGGAAATAGTACATACTAATTTCTGCTCTAGTATAAAGCTAGATATATAGTTTGGTTTTAAAACAGGAAACTTAACAAGAGATGCAACAATAATAGTGAGTGTGTGATAGCTATCGGTCCAAAATAATTTGATTAAACTTTTCGTACTTCTCAGCAACTTATTCATTTTGTGGCGTCTATTGGCAATAAGTGCTAATTGAAATAGAATTGTTCCCTCATCCCTGCAATAACCGACAGGTTGTGCCTTAAGCTTAACAGAAATTTCTTATACTTTAAAATATCAACCCTGGATTTCGGATCGATACTAGTTAGATATACCACATGTATTCGGAGCTTAACAATGCTTTTACACGTATGGTAGTGAACAGAACACGGGTGGGAACAATCGAATGTATTTAACACAAAGTTACAGGACTTGTTAGTAAAGTCTAACAATCATAAAGTAAATACTTAATTTGCGAAATGTTCACCAATTGTCTCAAAATGACTCAGACTTCATTGTTCTTACATTTTAATACAAATTGCATCCTGTTTTTATTCTTTACTGTTCGATCCGCTTGTCTCTCTGCTGTCAGACCTGTTCACGACCGATATCATATACTACTTATGTTAATATAAGTAACACACACCACAGTATAACTTTTATAACCAAAGTATACCAGCCCAGTCAAATCAGAAGTCAGAAATAAAGAGGTTCGAAGATATATTTGGAAAGCTATTGATATGTTGGCAAGTGTTTGGTCTAATCTGGCTAGCAGTTGCAAGCGATGCGTAGCATGACGCACCAGCTCGTGATGTGGCGCGAATAACGTGACCGAGAACATTCAGCTAAGTGTGCCCAGTAAAACTAATAGGGTCAGCGTCAACGTCGAAGACATACAGAACTATTTATTTTAGGGTTTTATTTACCGCTACAACTGAATGATGTAGGGATTGATTGAGTAACGTTCGTCAACATCTGCGAAAAGTACTCTGGTGTTTAAATTGATAGTAAACGTACATCAATTTACTGCCTGTTATAATATGTGGTTTCTATTGTTGGTTGTCCTGGTAGCTTTGATCCTCTACTAGCCTGTTATGATTTAGACGATTACTAATGACTGAGTGTGCTGTGAAGGTTTATCCCTCATCAGTACTGTAGTGAAAATGGAATAACTTTGATTTGTAACCAAACAATCCTTTAAGCTGAATCTATTCTGACCTGTAAGTTTCACCTCTGGACATTAAATTGTGAGTTAAAAAGGGTGACAATCAATGTGGAAACACTATCGAAACTTCATGGTTCGGCCATGCCTGCCTTCCCACTTTACCTCTATCACCTTTATATTAAATACATTGTTCTTTTGGTTAGCTTGCATTTACTCAAAGGTTCATACCAAGCATTAATCCCGTCTAGAGCGATGAAGCGGGTCACATTATGGCTAGACAACTACAATATATTATGTCCATTATCATAAACAGGTTCATTTGTAAACAATCACAGACCTAAATTTACACACTATCTTTGAAAACTCTGAATGCTCAGTTGTATTTGATTTCCCTAGTCATGCAACCATTGCTTGATCGCAAAGAAGCTATTATTTCACGAAAGTTAAGTTGGATTTTTGTGATGAGCATAAAGAGAAACTATTAGAGGCGAGTCGACCTTTCTATATTAAGTTGCAATATATATAGTAACAGTCAACTACAGGATACCTCGTTAGCCACCACTGATTAACTAATATAATATAACTAGGAGTGACCACGTCTTAGCATTCTACTGATCCATGAAATTAGTGATTGATAGTTTGAACTGATCTTGAGAACTACATTTCTACGTCTACAACACGAAGTATAAATAATCTGTGACTTCATACCTTACGTAAAACGACCCACTTTCATTGTCAGTGAGCAAGTTACACCAATATTTCATAATTTCAGTAGTGAGCTTTTGATTTCGCTCGTTGATTTTTATTTAGGTTTTACTTGACTGTGTGACTTTAAGTACATACTGTCAATCTCCTGTCTCTTTACTTTTGAAAAGTGGTTATTCTAGGTGATATGTGTTTTCCAGGTCATTTATTTTATTTTATTTAAACACATAAACATTGGTACAAGGAGGCACCAAGTAGATATGCGCCACACAAATCTTATTCAATATGTGTGAGGGCTGTGATACTGCCCGGGTGACCAGACCGAAGCAGGCGGTTTTCTTAGGAGGCCACACCCCGATCCTTTGACCTAAAGGTCTGACCCACAAGGCACTGGAGCATCGTGAGGAGATGCAGTCTCATGGTAGTCGGTAGTTGGTTTGGAATCCGGTTAAAGCGCCGGACATTCGCTTTTCGTCCTCTCAATTTCGTAAACAACACCCGTAGTGCGAGAAGACAGTGAGTAGGACGTCCCTGGCAGAGTCTGTGTACGCGTGGCTATGTGAGAACATTTTCAGAGGGAGGGAGGGCCCACCCCACTCTCGCCCATAGCAGGGCATTTGGGGTCTTTTCCAGGTCAAAAACCTCTGGAAGTGGCCGCTGTAAGATAGTTTTGGTATATTTCTGTGTTGATATGTTTAGATGCAGGTGAAAATCCTTCCACGTAAATGTTTTATGTGATAATAGCATTTTGTTTTACTCTTAAATGTAAAGCTTTGTTACTACAGACACTCATTTATGTACTTCGTGTATGTTTGGATCTAGGTTTCATCAAAGATTTGTGTAGCCTATATTCCGATGTTTCTCATTTTTGTGTGACCAAC